GGGGCAATGTGCTGACTCTGTAAACCGCTTAGAGAGGGCTGTATAGCACTGTGAAGCAGTATATAAGTCTAAGTGCTATTGCTATTGCTATCTAGGAACTTCCATTTGAGTGCTTAATCCGGCTTTGTGTTCTCATTCCCGTCTATATATTCTTGTGAAATGTATCTGAGAAGCAGTTAGTGTCAGGTGCAAGGAATCAGAATAACACCATGAGCCGATAGAGAAATTTCCACCACATCAATTTCCCTTTAGCTCTCAGAGTAGAGAGAGAGAAATGTTATATTCTGACATGCCCCCATGTATGAGGTTTAATATGACTTCCATCTATTCTCTATGGGGGTGGGGGGGTCTTCTATTTTTATCCAGTATATTTTCTTTGTGGCATTTTTAATTAGATTGACCACATGAACCACTGCATTACTGACTTTATCCTTACTGGCAATAGTCAGGCGTGTGTAATCAGATGTTATTTTATACGGTTCAAACCCTCTTCTGGGCATTGAACTCTCATGCACTATCAAACTTTAGAGTAGTACAATAAAGCACACTAGCTTTAGGAGTTATACAAGTTCTGGTGCAGGAAGAAATGTATATGAGATGAGATGAATGGTCACTTCAGCTCTCAGAAAGAGAACCCCATGCTATGTCCATGCTGAATGCAAGAGGGAGGTGCTGTTTCCCAGGGATCTAAAAGACAAATTAGCCTTGAATCCTTGGTTTGCAGACAGAGGCCCAGAAGGTACCCTTCCTATAATCTTCACAAGACTGAAAGTTATGCAGAAGTGTGCTTCATTCTGGCAAGATTCTGTTTATGGGCAAACAGCAATAAAGAAGCTACTCTGAGCAATTAATCATGTTGTTTTTGATTCCATGCACCTCACAGTCAAGCCCCCACATACATAAAATAACAGATCTGGCTACCCATGTCTGATGAGGCCAGTGGTGGGATTCAAATATGTGAACAACCGGTTGTCTGTGTGGATGCCGCTTCCGGAAGTCCATTCTGGGCCTGAGCAACAAATAATTAGCTACCGGTTCTGCCGAAGTGGTGTGAACTGGCTGAATCCCACCACTGGATGATGCCCAATAAGGATAATACTAGTAGCATGGTGCTTTCTGGTGTTCTACATACAGTAACCATACAATTGAAAGTTTGTCATTCAGGTGTTGTTGGAATCCACCGCATAGCCTAGCATGGCCAGTGGCCAGCTCAGGGCTAATAAAAGTTGTAATAGATGGCTACAGGTTGCCCATACTTCTTTCACTGAGACATGTTTGGTATCATTTCAGTGCAAAACTCTTTTCTTCCCCTAGTTTTTTCATGCCTCAGGTTTTTTGTGGGTTTTTTTTGGTCTCTCTGATGACAGAATGTAATAATACTGCAGTGCACGATTACATCTTTTGTTTTCTGGTCACTGAATTTAAAATTGTTTTACTTCATGTTGAGAACCCTCCTGAGAGATTGGCTGCCGTGCTGCTAATAAAATCTAAATAAGAATCAATATGGAAGCTATGAGCTTCCCTGATTAATTATTTCTTCTCCATTCCCCATATTTGTTACCATAAATAAGGGTCTCAAATTAGCTGCAGGTTTGTGAATATTCTGGGTAGAAAAGAGAGCCCTAACTGCACAGAATACGCCTACCAACTAGAATGAGGGTGCACACTGATTCAAACCGCGTTTAATATTTTAAAATGGGAGGGGGGGGACATTGCACCATTTCAGATGATACCAGAGATGCCTCATTTTGGGAAGCAGAGATAAACAGTTGTGAAAGAGAAAAGATGAGCGTCATACGCACCTATTCATTTGTAGTAGGAAACCAATGAACAAAGCCAAGTTGGAGGCTTTAGTGTTCGGATTCGATTGAGCATGTCTGGTAGAGTCAACTTACAACCGCAGTTATGACCAGAATTTCTGTTGCTAAGCAAGGCAGCTGTTAAATGAATCACACCCAATTTTACACATTTTTGCCAGAGTCGTTAAAGTGAAACCCTGCAGTTGTTAAATGACTCATCTAGTCATGAAGTGAATACGGCTTCCCCCGTTTTCGGAAGCTAGCTGGGAAGGTCGCAAATAGAGATCACATGACTGCAGGGCACTGTGACCATCATAAATACATACCAAATTTGCCAACTGCCCAAATTTTGATTACTTGAATGTAGGGGCCGAGGCAACAGCTGCATGTGTGAGGACTGGTTGTAAGTCCCTGTTTTCAGTGCCATTATAACTTCAAACAGTTGCTAAACAAATGGTTGTAAGTCAAGGACTACCTGCAATGTTTTTTTTCTCCAATATAGGGCTCGCTAGGTGTTAAAGGTGCCATTGGTCCCCCTGGGCTTCCAGGTCCATCCATTCCTGGCCCACAGGTAAGTATCAAGAATCTTTCTCTCTCCCTCGCTTTTGTCTTAAACCCTGGACATTTTAAGCTGGCCACTGTCCAGCCTTGTCCACTTTCTCTAGTTGTAGGGACTCCGGCTGGAATCTTCCAGTTCTTTTCCTGGGCTCTGTGTTTAACAGAGCCTAAGCATGTACAGTAAGTAGGAACAAGCTAGCAAGCTGATGGTGTGTATGTAAAGAGGGGTGATGAGTACAACAGCCAAGGTTTCCGTGCTGGAAATTTGACATCTGTGAACTGCAGAGGAGGAAAGAAAAGGCTGTCTCCTTCCATCAGAAGCTGGGTGAATGGTTATAATGGTATGTGAGAATGGCCCTGGCAGACGAATGGAAGAAATGCAGACAAGAGAGGGAGGAGCCCACAGCCATTCAATGTCAAAGGAAGAAATTTAGGAAGACCCACCCAATCAATTAACCAGTTCAAAATGAGGGCAGACTTGCAAGATTCTGTTAATGCAGACTTATAATTGCCAGTGGCCTTCCGGGTACGCTTTAAGGTGTTAGTTACCACCTTTAAAGCGCTCCATGGCATAGGACCTGGATACCTCCGAGACCGCCTTCTGCCACAGATTCCCTCCCACAGACCGGTACGCTCCCACAGAGCGGGCCTCCTCAGGGTGCCGTCGGCCAAGCAATGTCGGCTGGCGACCCCCAGGGGGAGGGCCTNTTCCTGGAGTGGTAGAACAGACTCACAGAAAAATGAGTGGCTATCGTTAAGTAGCTACTATGAGGTCCGGACCAATTTTAGGGCAAATAAATAAAGCTTGTGGTGCTCATCCCCTGCTGCCCTAAGCTTTATTTATTTGCCCTAAAATAGGATGGGTTAAAACATTGGTTCTGATTCCTCGGAGGAAGGAAGAGGAGAAAAAACATTAAGCTACTTCTTCTCAAGAGTTGTGGATTGAAAGTTTTTCGCTAAGAGTCGTCTTTCCACTAACATAACTTTTGCAACTTTTTAGGGGGAACCAGGTACCTCTGGCATAGGAATCCAAGGGCCAGAAGTGAGTAACTCCCTTTTCGATATGTTGTGGGGCTTGCTTCAACCATGCATCACCATTAGTATCAACCCCAAATGTTTATCTATGCTTTTTTGCAGGGAGAACCTGGGCAGAAAGGTGTACCAGGAAATCCAGTAAGTATCAACCCCCTGGGCACCTTGCTACCCTGTTTGACCACACAGGGGTCATCTTTTTTCAAGAGTCTCAACCCATCCAACCAGATCTAGCAGAAGGGGCCTTATTCTGGAACCGTGAACTGAGATGCGTTATAGTTCTGATCCAGGTAGCATAAACTCCACGGAAATGGTTTTAAACAAATATTTATTGTCCAGGAATTCTAAGCAGAGACTTACTGTGCAGTAGATACATCCGGTCATACTCATATCTGTCCATTCTCGTAGGTAAAAAGGAATAATTCCCCATCTCAGTTAGGCATGCTTACGGATGCCAATCACTGCGTGCATGATGCTTAATTAAACAAAGGCTTTTACAACCCTGGCACTTAGCCAGGACATCCTGTAATAAACTTTGAAGCCTCTCCCACTGACTAGATAAGATATAGGACTGACTAGACTACATTTCCCAGAGGCCATCACTTAAGGAGACAGCGTTTGACCCTTTAAATGCTAAATGCTCTAACACAGTTCTTAATTCCTAAGCTAAATATATGCTCTGGCCAGAGTTACATACTGGTCCAGCACAGGCATGCTGCAGATCTCATCAGCCAAAGATTGTCAGCTGACAGGGGCTAGAAGAGAAGCTTTTTCTGAAGTGGCCCCAACCCTGTTAGCCTTTCATAACAAGCTCTCTTCAGAGATTAGAATGGCCCCAACCCTGTTAGCCTTTCATAAGACCCTAAAAACGTAGTCATGCTCCTGAGACTAGGATGCTGAACACATTAAGGCTCCCTTTTCCTGGCTATATGGTTCATTGGTCAAGTATCTCAGCTGCTATGTATATTTATTTTGGACGTGTCTACTGTTTTTATTGCTTTAAAATATTTTTTAATATTTTGATTGTTATATAATTTTTGAATTATGAGCCACCCAGAGTGATGGACCAAGATGGGCAACTGTAGAAATTGAATGAACGAATGAATTAATGAATGAACGAACAATGAATGAATGAATGAATGAATGAATGAATGAATGAATGAATGAAAGCCATCTCTCACTGCATACCAGACACTTGATGCACAGGAGAGCTGACCCCAATTATTTGGGCAATTTTAGGGCAAAAAAATAAAGCTCGTGGAATAAGTTGGGGTAGGGTGGTGATCAGAGACTCTCGATAGGATAGTGTCATCTAGGAGTCCATGATTTTATTCCATGATGGTTTTGCAGACTCTTGGGAATCCATATGGATTTGGAGGCATGCAAATAATAAAATAAAAACTGGCACTAACCTGGAAATTACAGCACTGTTGCTTTTGCTCTGCAGTAATTGCTGTCCCCCCCCCCCCCGTTTTCTTTTTTCTGACCTTCAGGGGCCTCCAGGACCTCGCGGTCCAGTAGGAAATGCTGGAATAAAAGGTGCAAAGGTGAGCATCTACATGTGGAAATGTGTAATTTCCTATGGTTGAAGAATTAGTTAGAAAGAGCCGTGGTGGTCCAGTGCTTAGAATGTAGTATTGCAGGGATCCCTGCTCACTGCCAAAAGTTTGAGCCTGATTGGCTGAAGGTTGACTCAGCCTTCCATCCTTCCGAGGTCAGTGAAATGAGGACCCATATAATAATAATAATGATAATAATAATGATAATAGTAATAATAATAATAATAATAATAAAGTTGGAACGGACCTTGGAGGTCATCTAGTCCAACCCCCTGCTCAGGCAGGAAACCCTATACCATTTCGGACAAATGGCTGTCCAGTCTCTTCTTAAAAACTTCCAGTGTTGGAGCATTCGCCGCTTCTGGAGGCAGGTTGTTCCACTGGTTAATTGTTCTAACTGTCAGGAAGTTTCTCCTTAGTTCTAGGTTGCTTCTCTCCTTGACTAGTTTTCATCTGTTGCTTCTTGTCTTGACTTCAGGCACTTTGGAGAATAGCTTGACTCCCTCTTCTTTGGGGCAACCCCTCAGATACTGGAAGACTGCTATCATGTCCCCCCTCGTCCTTCTCTTCATTAAACTAGACATACCCAATTCCAGCAACCGTTCCTTATATGTTTTAGCCTCCAGTCCCCTGATCATCTTTGTTGCTCTTCTCTGTACTCTTTCTAGAGTCTCAACATCTTTTTTGCATTGTGGTGACCAAAACTGGATGCAGCATTCCAAGTGTGGAATATNNNGGGGCAATGTGCTGACTCTGTAAACCGCTTAGAGAGGGCTGTATAGCACTGTGAAGCAGTATATAAGTCTAAGTGCTATTGCTATTGCTATCTAGGAACTTCCATTTGAGTGCTTAATCCGGCTTTGTGTTCTCATTCCCGTCTATATATTCTTGTGAAATGTATCTGAGAAGCAGTTAGTGTCAGGTGCAAGGAATCACAATAACACCATGAGCCGATAGAGAAATTTCCACCACATCAATTTCCCTTTAGCTCTCAGAGTAGAGAGAGAGAAATGTTATATTCTGACATGCCCCCATGTATGAGGTTTAATATGACTTCCATCTATTCTCTATGGGGGTGGGGGGTGTCTTCTATTTTTATCCAGTATGTTTTCTTTGTGGCATTTTTAATTAGATTGACCACATGAACCACTGCATTACTGACTTTATCCTTACTGGCAATAGTCAGGCGTGTGTAATCAGATGTTATTTTATACGGTTCAAACCCTCTTCTGGGCATTGAACTCTAATGCACTATCAAACTTTAGAGTAGTACAATAAAGCACACTAGCTTTAGGAGTTATACAAGTTCTGGTGCAGGAAGAAATGTATATGAGATGAGATGAATGGTCACTTCAGCTCTCAGAAAGAGAACCCCATGCCAGGGCTTTTCAACCTTTTCACCCATTGTACCACTTTTAGGATATGGCAATATCCGAGTACCACCAGGCGCCTAGAAAGATGTCAAAAACTTGATGATAAAAAAAAGGAACAAAGTGATGAAGTACAGGTAGTCCTCGACTTACAACAGTTCGCTTAGTGACTGTTCAAAGTTACAATAGCACTGAAAAAAGTGCCCCCCAAGCCACAGCCGAGCAAGACACCTGCCTGCCCGCCCGGCGGCGCTCTTCCTCCTGTCCGAGGTTTTCATTTTTGTGAGCATTTCTGTTGAGGATTGGCAGCAGAGGTGGGGTGGCGGGGTGTTTGGTTTTTATTCCCCCCGTCTGCTGGGTGGTTGCAGCAGGTTTTGGTCACTTGACATGACCCTGGGACACTGTGACCGTCATAAATATGAATCAGTTGCCAAGCATCTGAATGTAAATCACAAGACCCTGGAGATGCTGCAACATTCCAGCTGATCGCTTCTTCTGGGCTCAGCAGAAGCGCCAGGATCAGTGCTGCTTCCCAGCTGATTGGTGCTTCTTCAGGGCTCAGCAGAAGCACCAGGATCAGTGCCGAGCTCCAGCTGGAGCCTGGCGCTGATCCTGGCGCTTCCACTGAGCCCTGACAGCCCTGCAGCTCCAGCCATCTCTCGCTCAGGCTTGTGCGGTGCTGCCACCGGTTCAGCTCATTCCCCTCCCCCGCTACCATTTTTCTAGGATGGTCACGTACCACCTGCCAGGTGCCCATGGACCACAGGTGGTACCCGTACCACTGGTTGAAAAGCCCTGCCCCATGCTATGTCGATGCTGAATCTGGGGCTGAATGCAGGAAGGAGGTGCTGTTTCCCAGGGGGCTAAAAGACAAATTAGCCTTGAATCCTTGGTTTGCAGACAGAAGCCCAGAAGGGACCCTTCCTATAATCTTCACAAGACTGAAAGTTATGCAGAAGTGTGCTTCATTCTGGCAAGATTCCGTTTATGGGCAAACAGCAATAAAGAAGCTACTCTGAGCAATTAATCATGTTGTTTTTGATTCCATGCACCTCACAGTCAAGCCCCCACATACATAAAATAACAGATCTGGCTACCCATGTCTGATGAGGCCAGTGGTGGGATTCAAATATGTGAACAACCGGTTGTCTGTGTGGATGCCGCTTCCGGAAGTCCATTCTGGGCCTGAGCAATAAATAATTAGCTACTGGTTCTGCCGAAGTGGTGTGAACTGGCTGAATCCCACCACTGGATGATGCCCAATAAGGATAATACTAGTAGCATGGTGCTTTCTGGTGTTCTACATACAGTAACCATACAATTGAAAGTTTGTCATTCAGGTGTTGTTGGAATCCACCGCATAGCCTAGCATGGCCAGTGGCCAGCTCAGGGCTAATAAAAGTTGTAATAGATGGCTACAGGTTGCCCATACTTCTTTCACTGAGACATGTTTGGTATCATTTCAGTGCAAAACTCTTTTCTTCCCCTAGTTTTTTCATGCCTCAGGTTTTTTGTGGGGTTTTTTTGGTCTCTCTGATGACAGAATGTAATAATACTGCAGTGCACGATTACATCTTTTGTTTTCTGGTCACTGAATTTAAAATTGTTTTACTTCATGTTGAGAACCCTCCTGAGAGATTGGCTGCCGTGCTGCTAATAAAATCTAAATAAGAATCAATATGGAAGCTATGAGCTTCCCTGATTAATTATTTCTTCTCCATTCCCCATATTTGTTACCATAAATAAGGGTCTCAAATTAGCTGCAGGTTTGTGAATATTCTGGGTAGAAAAGAGAGCCCTAACTGCACAGAATACGCCTACCAACTAGAATGAGGATGCACACTGATTCAAACCGCGTTTAATATTTTAAAATGGGAGGGGGGGACATTGCACCATTTCAGATGATACCAGAGATGCCTCATTTTGGGAAGCAGAGATAAACAGTTGTGAAAGAGAAAAGATGAGCGTCATACGCACCTATTCATTTGTAGTAGGAAACCAATGAACAAAGCCAAGTTGGAGGCTTTAGTGTTCGGATTCGATTGAGCATGTCTGGAATCTGGGCATAACACAGGTAGAGTCAACTTACAACCGCAGTTATGACCAGAATTTCTGTTGCTAAGCAAGGCAGCTGTTAAATGAATCACACCCAATTTTACACATTTTTGCCAGAGTCGTTAAAGTGAAACCCTGCAGTTGTTAAATGACTCATCTAGTCATGAAGTGAATAAGGCTTCCCCCGTTTTCGGAAGCTAGCTGGGAAGGTCGCAAATAGAGATCACATGACTGCAGGGCACTGTGACCATCATAAATACATACCAAATTTGCCAACTGCCCAAATTTTGATTACTTGAATGTAGGGGCTGAGGCAACAGCTGCATGTGTGAGGACTGGTTGTAAGTCCCTGTTTTCAGTGCCATTATAACTTCAAACAGTTGCTAAACAAATGGTTGTAAGTCAAGGACTACCTGTAATGTTTTTTTTCTCCAATATAGGGCTCGCTAGGTGTTAAAGGTGCCATTGGTCCCCCTGGGCTTCCAGGTCCATCCATTCCTGGCCCACAGGTAAGTATCAAGAATCTTTCTCTCTCCCTCACTTTTGTCTTAAACCCTGGACATTTTAAGCTGGCCACTGTCCAGCCTTGTCCGGGACTCCGGCTGGAATCTTCCAGTTCTTTTCCTGGGCTCTGTGTTTATCAGAGCCTAAGCATGTACAGTAAGTAGGAACAAGCTAGCAAGCTGATGGTGTGTATGTAAAGAGGGGTGATGAGTACGACAGCCAAGGTTTCCGTGCTGGAAATTTGACATCTGTGAACTGCAGAGGAGGAAAGAAAAGGCTGTCTCCTTCCATCAGAAGCTGGGTGAATGGTTATAATGGTATGTGAGAATGGCCCTGGCAGACGAATGGAAGAAATGCAGACAAGAGAGGGAGGAGCCCACAGCCATTCAATGTCAAAGGAAGAAATTTAGGAAGACCCACCCAATCAATTAACCAGTTCAAAATGAGGGCAGACTTGCAAGATTCTGTTAATGCAGACTTATAATAAAGTAGAATTAACTTACCTGGTCGTGTTTTCTGTCTGGCTTACCCAAGAGGGCTGACTATGGTAGAGTTTAAAAGGATCAGTTGTTCAAGGGGGGGAGACAAATGAAAAAAACTAAGAGGTGGTCTCGGGCTCTTGGCTCCCTTTCCTCCTGGTATCCCACGTGGAGAATTGGCTGAGAGTGGTCAAAATGATGCTTCTGGAGCTACTTCTCCAACAGTGTCTTATCCCCTTGCTATATTTCTTTTCAGGGTCCAGAAGGCCAACAAGGCCTGCCCGGAGTTCCTGGTTCCAATGGTTTAATGGTAGGTAAGCTGCAACTTGAGTTCCTTTGCGGGAAGATTTGTTACAAAACTTCCAAGATCTCTTCTAGTCGTCCTCCTGCACACCCTCTTGAATTACCCACAAACATCTCAAATTGCAAAGCTCTAGCAAGAGATAATCCTACTCCAAAACCCTGTTGGATTTCAGAATGGCTTCAGAAAACACTTTTTCTTTGGAAGTGGTTGGCCTACTTGGAAAGCTTGAAGCCACTAAAGCACCATCTTTCTAACCCTTGCCAAACTCTGCAGTTCTTTGGAACGAGCTCCGAAACAAAAGTACAGTGTTTCTTAAAAAGCAAACAAAGAATCGGTTTCCTGGAACGACACCAATTTCAGCCTTGACACAACCCAGGTGTGAATAGTGGTGCAAACTAGAGTGATCAGCTTTTTCCAGGCCATGAGGCACATGATCTGAGTTTTGAATAGAGAGCCCAGGTCTATGATTCAAAAATTAGCAAGGCCAAAAAGAGGGGAGCTGGACCAATTTAATTTTACACGAATGGAAATCAAATCCCATTGGATTAATTTAGTGCAGGGAGTTTTCCTCCACTTAATTTTCTCCTTGTGCCTCATACAAAGATTGCAGCTTTCTAGCAACGTTTAAAGGGACTGTAGAGACCCCACCCCATGCTTTGGGGATCTGGGTAGGGCACTTGGATTGCACAATCTTTGGTTTGCACTGCAAAATAAGTCTGACATAACCATGGTTAAACTAGCCAGGTGTCAGAGAGAAAATCAAGTGAAATGCAACGTGCCTCCTCATTTGCTAAGCTCAGGCAATTGTTCACGGTGATTGGGAAAGTGCAGCTCAAATGTTCACTGCTGTTCTAATAGCAAGCTGTGTTTCAAAGGCCAGCATACAACACTGGAAAAACAAATTGGATTTGGGCCTTTTTTATTATTTAATAACTTCAGAATGCGATCAGCCACTGAGATAAAGAGTTATTAATTATACATTCTCTCTCACAAGGGGAGACTTTTGACTCTTCCAATCCAAAAACCATTATGCAGGGTCTTCAGAGACCTGTTCTTTGCTTATTAAGTAATTCCAATTGATTTTTGCATGTATCTCGCCTGTTTTTTTTAATGCAGCAATGCTGTTCAGGGGCTGGGTGGAATGTGGATCTGGAGGCACGTCTCTGCTGAAGCCAAGCTAGAGATGGGATTTTCTTTGCTTCTCTGAACTGCAAATGAAAAACTGTAACCTGGCAAGTGTGTCTGCTTGGTGCATCACACTTTTTTAAAAAAAAAAAAATAGGCAGAATGGGATTGTACTGTCATGACTTGCCATACTAATTTTCTGACCACACCTTCAGATGCCCTTGTAACCTCCTGAGATGATGATAATCCAGCTCAAGATGACTTTCCCACCAGCATGACCTTCTCTATGGATAAAGAGAAGGAAAAAGGACAGGAGAAAGCTAACTACATTAAATTGTGTACACATGATATCTCTATACCGGTGGTTTTCAAACTTGGCAACTGTAAGATATGTGGACTTCAACTCCCAGAATTCCCCAGGCTGGCTGAAGAATTCTGGGAGTTAAAGTCCACATATCTTTTAAGTTGCCCCGATTGAGAAACATGGATTGAGAAAGGGCTGAGAGCTCTCTTTGGTGATTTTAGAAAGCAATTTTCTTCTGATGGATGGGTTAGCTCCTTGATTTGACCCAGGAATCAAATCCACGTTTAGATCTGAGAATACAAGTAAGGAAATCAACAGAACAGGAGGGAAAGCCTGCATTTCAAACTAATTGGAGAATGTGATTTATGACCGTAAATTAGAGGAGGGAATTGTGCTTTGATACTATGTGTTCAGGGGAGGAGAATCCAGATTTTGGCCTCGACTATGTACGTGCCGATGCTATGCTACTCGAATAAAGATTCTTTAAGGTAAACAATGCCTCGAAGTTCTTTGAAGAGTTTCATCAGTCGGAGCCATGACACTTTTCTTCAATCACCTAAGAGAGACAGCTGAAAGAGAGGCATCTTCTTGTCAGGAACTTCTAGCTACCTACTTGCACAGGCTTTTTCAACTGAGACGCAGAGCAAGGAGTCATCCAGGGCCCCCGTTTCCCTATTCCTGATGTAGAGGTTCCTCAGCTTCATTGCCAGTAACTCCAAAGAGTTTGAGAATCAGAGTAGACCTAATCACCTGACTGAACTTGAAATCTGCCCCAGTGAATGTTAAATTAATACATTAGGGGCAGAGTGGAGAGTGGGCCTTAGAGAAGGACTAGAAAAGGGGATACGTCTGAAATATGCTGGTCGAGAGACTGAGTCAAGGCAACTTTCCAAGATTTCAGGGTTGGTTCCGAGTCTCATCTGGTAATGATCTAAGTGACCTTTTTAATATCAACACCACGATGAACCCATGGTTGATTTTGCTTTCTTTCCTTTTCCTTTTTTTGTCTAGGGTGAAAGAGGTACCAAAGGCGAGAAGGTGGGTCAGCCTACTCATCATATTACACCTTCAGTTTGGGGCATCTGTTTGCTTTTAACCTTAATTTTGAGGGCCTTCAATGCCATCGATGTTGTTTTATATAAACCCCTCACTTTGGTTCACGTACCAAGCCAAACCTTCATCAGCAAAGGATGACCTGTTCCCCACTCCTGTACACAATAGGTACTTGAAGACCGCATACCTGTTTTTTTATCTTCCCAGGGAGATTCTGGCGAATGCACCTGCCAGCCTGGCTCTCGCCCGGACACAGGCCATGGTCTTCCGGTAAGCGTCGCCCCACACTCCTGCTTCCCCACAGCCCTGGGGATTTGCTGCCAGGCTGGATGAGAGTTCAAGCCTCCCGTACCCCATTCTTCGCTCAACTGCTCAACGCCTTTGTTGCTCCGGAAGCTGGAACCCATGTCCTGCTTGGCCTTTGCTAAATGCTCTCCCCTTTTGGACCCGCAGGGCGCTCCGGGACTGTGGATCGGGAATCCCTGGCAGTCTCAGCCAGGTCCTCAGGTGTGTGTGTGGGTGTATGTGCATGCTTGCTCCTCCGTATGTGGCGATTTTGGCTCCTCGATCCTGGGATTGGTTCCATGCTCTCTGAAGAGCCTTTTCTATCACTTTTTTCTTTTAATTTGCGGCTCACAGGGACCTCCAGGTGCTCCAGGACCTCCAGGCCCACCAGGAGCCCCGGGAATTCAGGTAAGTGATTGGAAGAGAAGATTTGCTACTCCCTGACAGACAGGAACAAGGGTACAAATTATCATTATTATCACCACCTTTGGAACTGAGGAGGCCTTGTGGACATAGCACAACTTCAGTGGTCCACATTAAAGTCAGAAAACCATCCCTGATGCTCTTGGCTGCACAAAATCCCAGTCAGTAGCATTTAAACCAGTATTAGCTGAGTTCTAGCCCTCCAGATGTTCTTGTTCCACAACATCCTTTATTCCTGACCATCAGCTGTTTGAGCTGCACCTGATGGGAGCTAGAGGACAATCACATCTGGAGGACCACCATTTTCACCCAATAGTGCTTTGAAGAGATAGGTTACATAGGAGATTTCTCACCAAGCCCCTAGCTGCAAGATTTCAGAATCAACTTTAACCAGATTGAAGAGAAAAGGAATTTGGTTTCAGAAACATTAGCAATTGGATACTTTTATGTTTAACACCCAATTTCTTTTGCTAAATGTTCATTGGCCCAACGAGGTGGCTACCTGTTTTGCTGATAAAAGAAGACTGTGCAGACATCTGTGCTAATAATAATATTTTGCAAATGGCCAACCTATTTCTCAGGCTCTGAAAAACCCATTACAATTTTGCTGCCGTGATTTTTTTTCTACAAGACACCCTTTCATTGGAATGATTCATAATGGACAAGTGGGGTTCTCCAGCAATCGATAATGCTTGTCACCATGCCTTTGGTGGGACAAACATATTGAGAGTGCTGTTCCTTCTCAATCATTCCTGTTCAGTTCAGGAATACTGGTCTGAAAATAACTGGACAGACCAGCACTTGCCTTCACCAAGAAACAGCAGAACAATTGACTAATGGTGTGGAAGGAAAGCAATAAGTGAACAAACAACAGGTATGTTCTCATCTATAGTCCTTTGGGTTCTCCTCATCCCCATGACAGCTACAAATCTAAACTTTAGAGGGATAGTATTAAGATCACATGAAATGTAATACCACTTTATACTGCAGTATGTGGTATAGTGTACACATTTTGAATACTGCATCCAATTCTGGTCACCACGATACAAAAAAAGATGTTGAGACTCTAGAAAGAGTACAGAGAAGAGCAGCAAAGTTGATTAGGGGCCTGGTGGATAAAGCATATGATGAACAGTTGGGGGAATTGGGTATTTCTAGTCCAGGGGTAGGCAACCTTGGCTCTTTTATGACTCGTGGACTTCAACTCCCAGAATTCCTGAGCCAGCCATACTGAGGGGAAAGGGAGAGGTTTCCAAGCTGAGCCATGCTGGCTCAGGAATTCTGGGAGTTGAAATCCACGAGTCATTAAAGGGCCAAGTTTGAAAACCCCTGGTTTAAATATTTAAATATTTTTACCTCACGGTCACGTGATCAAAATTCAGGCATTTGGGCAGGGGTAGGCAACCTTGGCTCTTTTATGACTGGTGGACTTCAACTCCCAGAATTCCTGAGCCAGCTTAGCTGGCTCAGGAATTCTGGGAGTTGAAGTCCACGAGTCATAAAAGAACCAAGGTTACCTACCCCTGGTCTAGTCTAACAAAGGGATGATTGATGTGACATGATAGCAGTCTTCCGATATTTGAACAGTTGCCACAAAGAGGGAGTCCACCTATTCTTAACCCAAGGGCAGGACAAGAAGTAATGGATGGAAGGTTATCAAAGAGAGATCCAACCTAGAATTAAGGACAAATTTCCTCACAGTGAGAATAATCTAGAAGTTATGGGGTTTTTAACAAGAGATTAGACAGCCATGTGTCCCGACTGGGTATATGGTCTCCAGCTCAAGGAGAAAGTTGGACTAGAAGACCTCCAAGGTCCCTTCCAACTCTGTTATTCTGTGTCCTCCTTCCCACCGTCCTTCCAGTCACTCTGCCGTTGCAGCTCACTTCACAGTCAAAAACAATATTTTGTTCTTTCTTCGCAGCCACAGTGGACAAAATCATGATGAAACACAGAGAGGGCTGAGGAAAATCCCCCCCCTAAAAAAAAAAAGAAAGAAAAATCCAGAAAGTAGCTTTCTGACTCTCAAATAATCGTTTGTGCAAACCACACTGATTTTCCATGCAAAGTCAGGCTGCCAAGTTTTTTGCCAAGGAAATTGCTAGAAGGCTGGAAAGTACAAAATGGGAAGCTGAGGGTTGGCCAAATGCAAAGAGGCAAAGGAAAGGAGCATTTCCCTTCTCTCGTGTAACCCTGTGCAGCATCATGTTAAATGTCAGCCAGTCTTGGGGAAACAGTGAAACATAATACATCTTGTAAATGTAATATTATGTTCCCCCGGGAGATCACATGTGGCCCAGCACAGGAAATCAGGAGAGGCTTTCCTTCTGTCTGATGCCACTTTAGGTACTATCAGCAGCCAAGTATGTTGGAAAGAAAACAGAGATATATATTTTTTTAAGATCGATAGTTAGAGTCATAGACGCCAAGTGGACGATACGTATGTACAGTAGGATGGAAGATTGAAGGAATTTAGAAGATTGGAAGACTTGATGTTGCCTTCTGCAAAACCTCAGACAACCACTAGGGGAAGGCTAAGAAATAAAGCAAATGCCACCCTTTGCTGCCACCTTGTGGTCTTCTAAACTTTTGCAGACGAGCTATGAGACCCCTATCTCATTGGCTCAAAGAAATTTCCCAAGATATAAGAGAACTGTGTCAATCCATTTTCCAATAGGGGTTATAATTATCCCTTATGGATGTTTCCCAATTCCTGTCCATGGCTAAGGGCAGTCAAAACACCTTTTGCTTTAAGATGGTTCAGGTAACTCTAAACAAACATCTTTAGAGATTATATATTAAAAAGGGGAAATCTTTTCTGGATCGTGTCATGAGCTGGACAAGAAAGTTAGTGTAAGAAAGAGCAGCAGACAATCAAAAAATAAGTCTTTGCCATTTGGCACCACTGATGTATCTGATGGATGGTGTCAGTAGATATTGATCAGACTTCCAACTCAATTAAAAGAGTTCCCAAATCTGATTAATAGAAGAGAAGGTCCTATCAAACCCTAAAAAGGATTTTTTTTATTTGGACAGGCAGATTTGATTTCAGTTTTAGGGCCAAGACATTTTTCATACATTTCCAAATATTTATCCTGTATCTGAGAAAGCTGGGCATCATAAATCATGAGGAATCAAACCAGGAAAAGAATAGAGGGGAGTGGAAAAAAGAGATAAAGAGAATCGGATTCCCTATAATTTGACAGGAGTGAAGGGAGAAATTTCAGAATTGGGTGAAGGGAGACTTTTATCTCTCCAACTTGGGTTCTCCTCCAGAGGGAGAAGTTACAGAGACATGGGAGTTCACCGCTACTGCTACATCTCCAGCAGTTCCTCTTCTTCTACACCACCAGAGCCCGGTCTTTTTAGGAAAATGGCTGGAAAAATAGGTGGAGGGTCTGGAAAAACACGGAGGGGAAAGTTTTGGCAGGTGTTGGTGAAGGGGCACAGGGCCTTGAATCCCATTGGGTGGCAACAGGATTCCTTTGAAAGACAGCAGCCAGGGAGGACTCACATATTCAAAGTTTCTCCTTGCCTTTAGGGCATCCCAGGAATCAATGGCTTGTCGGGACTACCTGGGCCACCGGGTAAATGGGTAGGTAGAGGACTGCAGCGTCCGCTATTCCTTGCGCTTGCTCAGGCTGACCGCTGTCCCCTTTGTGCAGCTGCCGCCATCTTCCATAGTGCAGAAGAGCATCCAAAGCAAAGCAAAAAAAAAAAAAAAAAAGCAGAGTAACATCCATCAAGAACTGGTTAGGAACTCACACTGCTTTTGGCAAGCAACCCTAGAAGCTCATAACCCCATTGTGCTTTTTTTTTTCCTCCTGTAAAAGAAACCAAAACTAGAACTACTTTTTTTCCCATGCACCTTTATTTCTCTTGCTCCATCTCTCCATTGCAGGATCCACAACCAGTAGAGGGACCTACTGCAACACAGGTAGGACAATCATCACCATCATCATAATGCTTCTTTTTTGTAGTACAGATGGTCCTTGAACTATGACTGCAATTACTTAAACCCCTTCATAGTGCTTTACAGCCCTCTCTGGGCGGTTTATAGACTCAGCACATTGCCCCCAACAATCTGGGTCCTCATTTTACTGACCTCGGAAGGATGGAAAGCTGAGTCAACCTTGAGCTGGTCAGGATCAAACTGCTGGTGGTTGGCAGAGTTAGCCTGCAATACTGCATTCTAACTACTGCACCACCATTGCTCTAATTGAGCCCAAAATTATGGTTGTAAGTCATTGAGGTCATTCAATTGGTCACCATGTAACGAGACCCAATATTATGATTTTTTCTGTGATGGTCCTTAAACGAACACTACGCTTGTTAAGCAAATCCACTATACCAATTGGCACTTTTTGCTAGAAATTAAAAGTAAACATCAGAAACCAGGAGAAAAAAACATCACAAATCTCGTCCATGTCACTGTGGGACCCTGGAAATAGCTGTAAAGGTGAACTGGTTGCCAAACACCAAAAATGTGACCATGGGGAGGTGTGAGTGGCCACTGAAACTTCAAAATTAGGTGATTACGAGGGCTTTGTCATAACTTTGAATAGCCATTACGGGACATCATAAGTCAAGGACTGCCTGCAACGCAAAAATTCAATCCTGAATTTCCTTATATGGAAATGATTATTCTCCCAAAAAGTTGTATTATTTGATTGATTGATTGATTGATTGATTGATTGGAGAGGGGTTTCCAGAAAAGTCATCCTGTCTCAGGTTCCAATAATTAAATCTGTGTTATATTCAGTGGTGGGATTCAGCCAGTTCGCACCAGTTCAGCAGAACCGGTAGCTAATTTTTTGTTGCCCAGGCCCAGAATGGACTTCCGGAAGCAGCATCCACACAGAGAACCGGTTGTTCACCTATTTGAATCCCACCAGTGGTTATATTCTTCATCTGATTCTAAACACTGATCCCAGTAACTGGGATCATGGAGGAATGTGGGAAATTGTTGATTTATCAAGGGTTCAGAGAAACTGGAATTGCATAGAAAAGAGTAAGAATGATAATCAGAGGATTGGAAACTAAGTCTAACAGAGATACTGGGAGTTTTCCCTGAGAATAAAACAAATAAGCAGGAGATATAATAATGATGCTCTGAGTTTCTTAATCTTGGCAACATTAAAAATATGTGGACTTCAACTCCCAGAATTCCCCAGCCAGCAAGGGTGGCTGGGGAATTCTGGAAGTTGAAGTCCACATATCTTAAAATTGCTAAGGTTGAGAAACAACAATAGCAGTCTTGAAATCCTCTAAAGCAAAACATAATCCTGACCAAGGCTGTATAACTTCATCCAAGTATTATAGAGTATTATAGATTATTATAAAGAATATTACAAAGCTGAATTGCATTAGAAAGATATGAATGGCTGAAAGACAACAGAAATTGCTCGTGTGAAAGTGTGACCCATTCTCTGTGATTTCAGAAGACAGAATGTAGACTGATACTAAGAGTCGCCTTATTGGGGAGGTGGGTGGTGTACAAATTAAATTAAATGAATAAATAAGATCAAGCAAAATTCAGCTTTCTATGAAGAAATATTTCCAGTCAGAAGAACAATTCACTAGTGGAGTCAGTTATTAAAGGAGGTGGTAGGACTGTCCTTCATCCAGCAGGTTCAAGTATACATTGGATGGTTATCCATCACGGATGCTTTCATTTAGATGTTTCTAAACCTGAGGCAGAAAGTTGGACTCGATGGTCCTTCCAGAATGAGGCATATATCAATGCTATCGCTCTGCCTGATCCAGCTTACTGTATGTCTTTAGATGAGAAACATTCCTATTGCAAGGGGTAAACCTTACCAGACTTACAATCTTTCTCTTCTCTCATAGGAAAACCTCTGTGAAACCTGCAACTCCCAAGGCTCTAACGGGATAAAAGGAGAAAAGGGAGATCGGGGCCAACCTGGAGCTCCGGGCATAGATAACTGTGCAGAGGTGAGTTACCTGTGAATCTCTTCAGCCACAAAGCAGGCTGCAAAATCAGTAGCCTTGCAATAGTGTCCTTCTGTCATGCCCCACGCTTTCAATCATTTTGTAGTCACGTTGCATGTGTGATGGAATCTCCAGCTAGCTTGGAGAGGGCGGTGTTAAGAGGGGGCCAAGCTTAGAATCCTTGCGCTACCAGAAAGCAGCCTGACCTTCCCCAAGCCTGACCTTCCCCAAAATGCCTGAAGTCAAGGACTACCTGTAACGAATTTTCTTTATTTCTGGGATCCTAATCAAAGGTAGTGCATGACCACAGCGGAGCCCAAAATTTCTGTTGCTAAGCAACACGGTTGTTAAGTGAGTTTTGCCCCATTTTAAGTGAATCACTGCAGCTGTTAAGTTAGTAACGTAGTTGCTAAGTTGAATCTGGCTTCCCCCTTGACGTCACTTGTCAGAAGGTCTCAACAGGGGATCACACGTTTGTCATACAAGTGAAAGTTTAGCATTGTTTGGGCAAGAGTGTAGCGATTTTTTTTTTAACTTTTCCCCAAATCCATAATATTCACATATGGGTAATGTCATGGTTCCGACAGATGAAACCATGGGCTTCCCATGCAAAAACACACATAGTTCACTCCACCTTTTCCCACGGGTCTCCCACAGTCCGCTACATCCACTAATCACTTCTGTTCATTTCGTTATGGGAACCAGCCAGCCGTGCTGTGACATCTGCTCTGGGTGTCCTTGATGGGGGGAGCAATGTCTCACGGGAACCAGCGATGAATGGATGCCATTCCCCACCCCATCCTTGCATTTCAATCCATCACCACCCTTTTCTTTCTCAAGCTGGGAGCAAAGCAGAATATAGGTGAAAGATTCGAGTCAGTCTTGATACCAGGTCTCATGTGCTGCCATATATCACAACGGGGAACAAGTCTAAGTGCAATGCCTGGTCCACCATTTATACCTTACCGTCTTAGGGATGATCACAAGGGGGATCCTGGAGCATGCTCCTCAGTTGCCGATTGCTTTATTGGCATCCTGGAAGATACATCTGCTCAAAGGAAAACTTGAGCTGGATTCTTCAGTTGAACTAGTCCTGCGTCGATCAAGCAAATTTGGTATCTGCAGAACTTTAGTGGTAAAGCATGCTGTAAATTCTGGAGTAGGAATTAAACTCACGATATGTTTCTTCTACTTTCAGTGCCACCGTGAGCACCCTGAAGACGAGGCCCAGGTGAGTAAATCTCTAGGCTGGATATTTATCCAGAAGGCGACAGAGGAAAGAGAAAGACATAACAAATTGGTATCACTTCATTTCTACCAAGTAATATGCAAAAGCATGCCCACTTCTTTGGCAGATTTGACTCGGAGCTCATGTGCTGCTGTGCTTGAACCAACTGGCACCATTTATTTACAACTGAGAGCTTCCATCCTCGGGAATCAATTCTCACTGGAATTATACTGGGAATTTGATCGGTCTAAAAGCATGCCTTTTGCATGGGCCTTTGCGAAGCTGGTTTAAATATTAGTCCTTCAGGCAAAACTGGACTGCTGCTTAGATAAACATTTCAATGGTTGTTTTTTTTAAAGGATATTGGCCAATCACATTTCTGAGGCTCTGTGTTTTAATTGTGATCTTAAGTTGGATAGGAGTGAGTTATTGTATCAATTCTTCATTCTGTTGATACCATATATTATTATTATTATTATTGATCATTGCACAGTCAGCCAGATGTTCAGACTGGATTTGGCATTTTGTCTACCTATCGAGTCCTTACCAAGGACCTGGGATAGGCAGATGTGGATGTTTGATGGTATTACAGATATCATCGCAGGATGGAAGCAGTTCCTAGTAAGGCCACCTTTTGCAATTGACTAATGGTGAATTTGTCAATGCCAATGGTGTTCAAGTGGTGCTCCAGTTGTTTTGGGATTGCACCCAAGGCACTTATTACTATTGGTACTACCCTTGCTTGCTTTTGCCACAGTCTTTCTATTTCTATTTGTAGGTCTTTGTATTTTGTGATCTTCTCCAGTTCTTTCTCGTCTATTCTGCTGTCTCCAGGCACTGCCACGTCCACTATCCAGACTTTTTTGTCTTTCTTATCGACAGTTATTAAGTCCGGGGTGTTATGTTGCAAGTGCTTGTCTGTTTGAATTCTGAAGTCCCACAGCAATTTAATTTTATCATTTTCTATGACTTTCTCTATTTTATGATCATTATTATTGTTATTGTTATTATTATTATTATTAACTGTGTCTAGCTATCAGCTATCAGCACTACAACAACTATCTGGGAGCTGAAGTCCACAAGTCTTAAAGTTGTCAAGGTTGCAGACCCCTGCTCTACAGTATATGGTTCAGTTAGGCAAGAGTTATTGCAGTCTAGGAGCCTGGCAAGTGCATTTTCCATTTAAGAAAGGGCGGGGGGAAGGTTGGCTACCTAACAATCTCCTGGTGTGGCATCTAGCCTGGCCTTCAGAATAGTTCTAAGCCTAGAAATATTGTGTCTGTACTCAACAAGGCATGTAAATATACAATGTAAATCAGCCCTGATAAAATTCACTCACGCCATTTACTCTGGGCCAAGAGAAATGGAGGGTCCTCTACTGAATCCTGTTCACTCATGCAATCAGCCAGGGGTTCTCACATTCGGTTCCACCAAAGATTGGTCCAAAAAAAATCTCATTTGACTCCTTCTTAAGTCGTGAAATCTTATCCCTGGTAATCCCCAGTCTTAATCCATGGCTAGCCAGCAGTCAGTTAAATGAGATTTCAAGCAAACAATGGATGTTCATAGGTAGGGTGGAATTCCAGATTTGGATGGAGACAGTTTTAATGGGGAGAGTGCTTCATTCTCAAGATTTAATCTTAAATAATATTTACGTTTGGCCTTTTGGAAAGCTTTAGAGTGAGTAGAAGCCTGGAAGGAGGGAGAAATCTGTCAGGAAACGGTGACCGTTAGAATTATTAACTACTTGGAAAAAACAGAATGAGACATCTTGTCTTCTCTTCCAGCCCGACAACAATGATCCTGATTGTGCTGGAGGACATCCTGGAAGCCCTGGCTATCCTGGACAGAGGGGCGAGCAGGTAAAGCCATTTGGAGAGATCAAGCAGCCATAATGGTATTGCAGATCCTTGGATTCAGAAATGAATGTTGTCTTGGCTTCTCCTTAGGGTCCACCAGGCTTACGAGGTTCTCCAGGCCCTCCTGGACCAACTGTGAGTATATCCTTTGTGCCAACTTCTGCTTAGATCTTCTCCCTTAAGCCTTTAACCCCCCCACCACCACCACCACACCATGTGTTAGTATAATCTGATGCCTGTCTAAGAAGATAAAGCCAAATTAAGGCCAGCTTTCCCCTCAGTGTGTGATCCATGGGGAACATTATGCTTCTACAACTGGATAGTGTTCAGTTGGGTGGCTACCATCCTGCTCTTCACCAACCGCCCAGCCAATTCTGGTCCTACCAACGTCCTGTTTACCTCACCCCACCCCACCCCCAGGAAGGGAGGGATGGGCCACTGTTTCTTCTCTCGGCAGCTATTTGGAGGAGTAGAACTTGAAAGTTTACTCTTGAGTTAAGAAGAAATGCATAAAATGTTGTGAAAGATTGGCCTTCTCTTCAACCATAGTTCCCTTGTTTGCCTGCTTTCCCTAGTCCAGCCAATATGATGACTGAGTGATGACCTCCCTGTTTCTTCCTGTAGGGCCCCCCAGGTTTTCCGGGAGTGCCTGGCCCACCTGGATTACCTGTAAGAACCGATAAAGCACGCGCTCTGTGCAGTCCTTTGTTGCTGCTGTTTGTTTGGCTTCTCATCCTTCTTCCTCCCTTTTTCTCCAGGTTCTGGGTCTAATATCTCAGCCAGCCTATTCTCCCACATGCTGCCACCTGGCCTGTAGCTCTTCCTCGGCTCTCCTCCTCCTCCTGGCTCAGGGATGCGGTCTAGAACGTTTCCTTCAATTAGCTCTTTCCCTTCCGAAGTTACCTGAGATCAGTGGTGATATAAAGCTGTCTAGTTCCCACAGGCAACACGGGGTTCACTTGATCTAGAGAATTCCCATTTAAGGGCAAGGATCCTTCTTCAGCCTTCCCTCAGAAAAATAAACTAGAAGATTCCACAATCCCAACTTGCGATATGGGTATTCTGGGTTTGGAACAATTTATCCGGCAGTGAGAAGACTGATTACCTCTAGACAGCTGATATTTCTCCCCAAAGATATTTCACGTAAAGCTGATTCCAACACACAATTTTTACCTCAGGGCTTAGCTTATCAATCAAACCCTAGTCATGAATATCTACTGAGCTGACTCGCTTCAGAAGAAGCAGTTGGACCCAGGTTCAAATACATACCTGAGAAAGAATCTGTGGACTTGAGAGGAAGCTGTCACTTTTCTAAACTAAAGAGCCCTCCCTTGTCATGTCTGTGAGTTGTGCTTTGGGGTCTTGAAGCAGTCATTGTACCCTCACTTGACCATCACCACCATTCATTCATTTCCTAATTCTCATCTCACTAATGACATTGTAACTCCCAGTCTGTGTGATTAATCGCTCCGTGATGTGGCCCTGTCACTGTCTGGTGTCAAGAGTACGTCCAATAAAAGCCATCACCATGTAACCTCAACTAACTCCACCCTGCAATGGCTCGTGAAAGCCTCCCACATTCGTGGGTGATGTAATTAATGGAGATTCACTCTTGTGGTATAGGTTGTGTAGATCTTTCTGCACTTAGCAAGCAATTATAGTTGAGGGATGCTTGTGATGTGGGATGTCTGGATACTAAAGAGTCTCTGGAGACATCTCCATTGACTGGATGAATGCACAAACTGGGTCCTACAAGCAACCATGTCAACCGCAAGCATTGTTTTCTCTGACAGTCACCAGAAGTTCTTAGGGGAGATGGCAAATTGGGGTAGTCCTTGCATTTAGTAGGAAAATTCAGAATCTCTTTGGGTCTACAGATGAGGAAGTAGAACTGAAGCCTTTCATGGCTGAACTTCTTCAAGGGCACAAAGGGGAATGAATACAATGTTGGCCAAAATGCTTCCTTTTCCAATGGTTTAGCAAGAAAAGTATAAGTCATTTTCTGTCTTGGTGCTGCAGGTAGAAAGACTGTCCAATTTTCCTAGTTTGACTATCTGCAAGTAAGAAAAACAGTCTTAGCCCTCAAATCCTTCCTTTGTTAATTTGGCACATCAGAATATGAAAATAGAAAAGAAATCTGTAGGCAGCCTTTGTAAAAAAAAACAACCAATATTTCATAATTGTGGTGCAGAAAAAAAACACACCTTAAGTTAGTAAAAAGTGATTGCCTCCCCCCCTTCAATTGCATTCTTCAGTTACACAATGAAAAACCATATTCTAGAAGCATTTTAGGAATATTTGATGCCGTGATAAAACAAAACTCCATTCCTCCCGAACACAACCATTTTCTCCTACAATAAACTTATGGCATGAATTACTTGCTGACTCTACTAGTGGGTCCAGTTCCAGGCCTTGGACCCAAACTGACTGGTATCCAGGATGATCTATCATAAGAAAAAGGAGGGGACAATTATCAAAATATAATTCTCTTCCAGATAAGTCAATGGGGTGGGGTCAAAAAAGTAAACTTCAGGCTATAATAATGCAATCAAAGCCCCATAATATATTTTTTTACATGGTTGCGTCTTTTTGACCCACCCTGAAGAAATCTTGCCTTCTTCAGCCTTTTGCTCAACGTAAAAATGGGTGTTTCCTAAGGAAATAACATCTTGCATAATTTTTGATCCGTCTATTTTTGCTAACTTTTTCCTGGTTCATATCTTCAATCAGAACTTGGTCCTATGTTACAGCCCATTTTCAAATTCTGTCCTTTTAGTGGTGCTTCACATGTAGTCCTCATGGTCCTGACATGATCACAGAGGAAGGAGCTGGGTGAAGGGCAGGGCCTCTGAAGGAAAGAATTTATCCAGCATAAGAGGAAAAATTATTATATAGTGGAAGGACAAGATGGAAGTTAGTGAAAAAAATTAGTGATTGAACATTTACAATGTTAGAATGACAGCAAAAAAGAAAGAAAGAAAGAAAGAGAAAAGAAAGAGAAAGAAAGAAAGAAAGAAAGAAAGAAAGAAAGAAAGAAAGAAAGAAAGAAAGAAAGAAAGAAAGAAAGAAAGAAAGAAAGAAAGAAAAAGAAAGAGGTGGATGGATGATAGGTATGTAGGTAGATTACCTAAATCAATCAGTCAATCTTTATTATAGTCACAGACCAACAAAATTTATCTACCTTTGATGTGTGTGTGTGTGAGAGAGATTGATAAATGATAGATCAATGTAGACGATAGATAGATAGATAGATAGATAGATAGATAGATAGATAGATAGATAGATAGATAGATAGATAGATAGATAGATAGATAGATAGATAGATAGATTTCTCTGAGAGAAATTTTGTACTTGATTGCAACGTAAGATTGAGTCCATTATTTTCTGTGGGAACTAGTCATCAGTTCCCATTGAATTATGAATTATGACTGAATTGTGACTTTAATCTGAAATTGTTGGCCACGATCAGTAATGGAGACTGAAGTGGAATCTAATCAGATTCAATGGTTCTTGTGTAAGTAGTAAAGAGAAGAAAACAGTGAAATAATTTGATAACGAATTCATCTTCTCTAGAGCTTCCGAGATGCTAATACAGGAAATGTGACAGCCACATAATACCATTCACTTGGTCTTGGAATTTAGATGTACACACTAAACATTTGATGATATTTTTTTTTCTGCACCACATGCTGCCACGAATATTCACAGAAAGCTTTCCCTAGATCACAAGACACCCAGAGTTAGTCCTTTTCATCTAGCAAGGTTTCGGAAAGTGCTTTGTGGGGATTGGGATCTGTCTTCAGGGGACAATTCAGACCTTACACAGGTGGCCCTTGCTTACCTTGCTTATCTCATTTAATGCCCGTTCAATATTACAGCGCTGTAAAAAATAACTTTATGGCCAATCCTCGCATTGAATCACCACTGCAGCCTCCTGCAGTCACGTGATTGCTGTCCGGATGCTCTGCAACCAGCTTGCGATTAGAGTTAATAAGAGATGGCAGAAATAAAATTGTAAGTGCAATCATGCGACGATTTGCTTAGCAACTGCAGTGCTAACAACGGAGTCCCAATTTTGGCCACTAAGCGAGGACTTCCTGTATTTGGAACAAAATGTGTGGGTGGGTGTTTTGTGTGTGTGTTAGAGAGAGAGGGGGAGAGAGAGAGAGAGAGAGAGAGAGAGAGAGAGAGAGAGAGAGAGAGAGAGAGAGAGAGAGAGAGAGAGAGAGAATGTTTGTGAATATTCTGTCCTCTAGATATTGCCCAGATCATGATCCAAACCCGTTTTGATTGTGCCTTGTCTCAATTAGCAATGTCGTGCGTGCTCAGAATTGTTGCTGCAAACACTGCCCTTCTAAAACCTGGCTAATCGGGTGTCTAACCAATAAAAATCTGTGTGAATGTTATTGATCTATAAGCCTAGAAAAAGCTATGGAAAACTGTGTTCCAGATGCTGATGGTAGCTTTCCAGGCACCAGTGATTAATTAAAGAAGTGGTGACTACCTCGAGACTACTTATGCTGTATTCCTCTTTCTATAACTTATTCTCCATCTGTTCCCAGCCTGTTCCCAGGTACATAGCTAGAGAGACCACCCTCGCAAGTGTGGTTCAGTTAAATGGGAGGGCAGAAGACATGAAACATATCCTGTCTCTTTTTTCTTTCCGAAGGGACTCCAGGGCGAACGTGGGCCAGTTGGAATCCATGGATCCAAGGGAGAGCCAGTGAGTGTTGGATCCAACTGATAATTTCAGACAAGCCTTGAGCTATGCATGGAGCTTGTTGATTGAGACCGGTTCTCTCCCGCGTGGCTCTCTACAGATCGGTTGAGACTACAATTTGTAGGTTGGGAAAGACAAGTCTGAACACCTGTCAATTGCACGGCTTAGACGACTGATGAAAAGTCTCATGGATGGATGCCGTTGGGACTGATTGAGAACACTTTGGTGTGATCATGAGTCTGAATGCCTCAAATAACAAGTTACAGATGATTTGAAGCAGGAGCTGGAATGCCCAGATACCTTTTTTTTTTTTTTTTAAGCGGGTGATGGAAAATCTGAAAAGTGTTTCCCTTGTAATCAACCACAAACAGCTGATATCAGATCTGGAAAAACCTATAATTAGAGGTTGTGTCCGTGAGCATCCAGCTGTTGTTGGGCCCCTTCTATCTCTGATTTAAATGAGTTAAATAGATTCTTCTAATTACACTAACAAGTAAATGGAGAACTCTAGAGGGATTTATTTCCTTTGAAGATGCCACGAAAGTGACAATATTCCATTGAGTTCTTTAAAAGGGTCCCTATCTGCCTAGAGGGGGGCAAAAAAATCAAACAAGAGTGCTAGTGAAAGTTGGAAGGGAAGACATTTAAATGGGTTGGTGAAGAACATCTCCTTGTCTTCTGCGAAGTGAGGACATTGTAACTAGCCACATTCGAAACAGAAATTATTTTGTGAAAACACTTGCTACGTGCTATCAAAATACCCAATCATCCCCAAAGACTTAGCCCTCCTGATTTAAAGTGATGGCTCCCATGATAGGGAGGCAAGGCCAGGTAAACCAGAAAAGGTCCATAGAATGTCTTAGCATGCTTAAGCTTATTACTGAATTAATCTGCTTAGAGTTTGCACAGTAGGAACTATGAGCTGAGTACCACCACCTACTGCCCCCAACTCCCTGAAATAAAAGCTTAATCATCAGAGTAGCCAGCAATTTTGCTGCTGATTTAGTTAAGCCTATCATCTGAACATAGTAGCTACACAGTGTACAAATCTAGAGAGGTTTCATGCATTCAAGGCTCCCTTTTCCATCCTACAGTAATCTCTCTCTCGCTGTCTCTATCCCTTAATTTGGTGTTTCTCAATCTTAGCCACTAGCTGGGGCCAGTAGTTTCCCTTCCTAGCTGGGGAATTCTGGGAATTGAAGTTCACACGTCTTAAAGTGGCCAAGTGGTTGAAAAACATTGCCTTAGTTCCACGACTGCAATTTTAATCTAAGAAATTCTTGGTTTAATTTAATCTAGATCTAAGAAAGTCTAATCTGGTTGGAATCCTCATTTGATCTGTAAGGTTGAAGTAGAAGAGAATGGCTACCCACCCCTTTATTATTCGGAATGAGGACCTGACAAGATAACCAAGAAGTACTTTAGGGCCACTACTTCGTGTTCTAGAAAATTGAGCACAAGGACACTGATTCTGCTGCATATTGCAGAAGGGGTTAAATGAGAAAAGGATGGCTTGCCTGTTCTAGCTCTATCTGAACATCGGAATGCAATTGTGCAGATGCCATAACCTGGTTCTATCAGGTTAACTTGAAGTCTCAATCCTAGCCTGAATTGAGATGTTTTCAATGTTCTTCTCTTCAGGGTCCTCCAGGTCAGCCCGGATATCCTGGATCAGTAGGACCCCCCGGGCTCCCGGTGAGTATGACCTATCTTTGTATCCCTTCTTTCTCCAGGATCTCAAGGGGTGTGTGTGCCTTGTACTCCATCTTCTTAATTGTCTCCACTGCCACAGACCAGTGAGGGCAGTTCAGCTAAGCAGAAACGATCCTTTTAGCCCTCAGAAGAGTTTCAAAATCTGGCTCTGCTAGTTGGCTTAAGTGCTGATGGGAGCGCTCCATGTTGAAGGTGACTGATGGATTGACAGGGAACAGGCCAACACTCTACCGATCTTGCCTTGTGTTTCTCACCTTTGTATCTAATGTTTTAAATATTTTTATATTTATGGTTTTAATTGTAAGCCGCCCAGAGTCAGTTTGCAGAATGAAATGGGCAGCATATAAATTAGAAAAATAGATAGAGATGGACAGACAGATCATCCTTGGAGTTCCATGGCTCCAGATAGGTCTCCTAGCTCCTGCCAAAGAGATGGGCCGAGTGGCTACACAATGCCTTGCCTTTGGACTTTAGAAGGAACCCAGGGCCACCCAAAAACTATTTTCTGAATCCCATGAAAGACATTGGGTGATCATCAGCCATCCATAGTGGAGCAGAATTGCCTTGTAGAAAAAACAAACTCAAAGACTTTCTTCTGACCCAAAGTTTGCTCACATTTCTCTTCTTCACACGTGACTCTCTTTAGCATATCCTCTTAAGCCCTATTGCAGTGGTTCTCAACCTGTGGGTCGGGACCCCTTTGGGGGTCGAACAACCCTTTCACAGGGGTCGCCTAAGACCATCGGAAAACACATATTTCCGATGGTCTTAGGAACCGAGACACCGCTCCTCTATCTCCTTGCCCTCCTCTTCTCTCTCTCTCTCTATCTCTCTCTCTCTCCCTCTCCCCGCCTGGGCGCTTCTCCAACCAGGCCTTCCCCCCCTCCCTGGCCAGCTGGATGGGGGATTGGGGGTCACCACAACATGAGGAACTGTATTAAAGGGTCGCGGCATTAGGAAGGTTGAGAACCACTGCCCTATTGGATTTTCATTGGATGTAGGGGAAAGTGTAAACCAAGGGTGTCAAACTGCCGGCCCGCAGTCCGGATGCGTCACGCCAAAACCGCGCCCACCCCATTGCCAGCCATGGGAAAAAAGTCGCGATACGTCGTGACACGTCACGTGACGTCGCAAGTTTGACACCCGTGGTGTTAAAACTGTTCATGAATGTTAATTTTTTTACCATTTTAGAATCCATATTTGGAAATCTAAAATGTTGGTTTCAAAAGCAGAGTTTGCTAAAAGTCGTTTGACCTTTTATAAAAAAAATATTTGCAAAACTTTTATTATTTTATTATTATTTGCAAAGCAGGAGAATGGAAGAAAAAGGGAATCCTTGGGTGTTGCCGCAGTGCAACACCTGACAGTTTTAGCTGTCATTAATTGCTAGTTTAGTGTAATGGTGACGCCACCAGGCTAGACATCAGGAGACTGGGAGATCTAGTACCAACCTGGACACAAATTTAGCTGGGTGACCTCGGGCCAATCGCTCTTTCTCAGCCCTAAGAAACAGGAAGTGGGAAATCACTTCTGCAAAACCCTATCAAGAAAACTGCAGGGACATGCATATCCAGGGAGACTCTGAGAATCGGAAATGACTGAATGGAAAAGGGGAAAAAATTGTTCTCGTTGTGCTGCTGGCAATATTTCTGTTTTCATGTTTATGTGTTTGCCTGCCATTAGGGTTCCAAAGGGGAACGGGGCTATGTTGGACCCCCAGGAGAGAAAGGAGAATCGGTAAGTAACTGGGAAAAGTGTCTTTTCCTGGACTTTTTTCAGAGTTCACCTCAGAGATTGGGAGATTTGTGGATGGAGAAGAAAATCCTTTTTTTTTTTCTTATAACCCACCTCTCTCTTTTTTTTGCAAAGCTCTTTCCTATCTTTGCAGCCCCAAGACTCATATATCCTCAGAGGATTTTTAAAATATCATTGGTATCCATTTTATTCCATAGTAGCTACATCTGCATTTTTTTTTTTAAAAAAAAAGTGTTTTAATTTATTGCTTTAACTGTTTAACAGTGCTATAAATCAGCCTGGAAGTGGGAATACGAAAGGGCAAGAAATGCATTAAGATTCATATTAAGTTAGGTAAATATGAAATACCTTGGCGAGGTAGGTTGCTGCACTTTAAGAGCATTGCTAAACAAAGAGGCAGCCCTGGTTTTAGTGTAACGTTTCTCAACAATGACATCTTGAAGTTGTGTGGATTTCAACTAGCTGGGGAATTCTGGGAGTTGAAGCCCACGTATCTTCAAGCTGCCCAGATTGAGAAACACTGTTTTAGCTAAAGCAGATTTCCTGGATATCAAACAACATTCTGATCAAAAGCCTGCCATTCCATAAATTCTTGATGTATTCTCCTCTATCATTTCTGTGGATAAGGAATTTGTTGACATGACAGCTGTCTTCCAGTACTTGAGGGAATGTCACAAGAGAAGAGGGAATTGACTCTCCAAAGCAACTGGAGGCAAGACAAGAAGCAATGAGTGGAGACTTCCAGTTTTGATGTTGTGGCAATGCAGATGCAGGAAGACGGGGCTCTGTCTTTTGCGTTTGATTTCGCCCTGCTGGGGGACCTTGGAAAGGGGTTGAAAGTCACCCCGTAGAGGCGGCAAGCAAGGAGGGGACCCTTGTTGATCACAGGGGGCGGTAGCCCTCCCGTTTAATCTGAGGAAGCCCTCCAAACCGGTGGGAAAAGACTGGCCACATTCGTGTAGCCAGTCCAAAGTTGCTGACAACGGAAGACAACAAGCACTATCAAGCAATCTTACAGCAACGTAAATGAAACTGGGTGAGACCTGATCCTCTCTTTATGATTTTAAGACCTCTTCCTGAAAATCTACCCAAAGCACTCTCCCCAATGAGAGAGGGAAAGGGAATTTCCGCACCATTCCCTCAGAAAAGAAAAGCAGTTAGTTAATTACTTGGGGAAAATAGAGAAACCTATAAGACTAATTTGGAATTGGCTTGGAAATTTGGGGACTAAAAGTGTTTTTAAGACCTTTTTTAAAAAAAAAAGACTTGAAAAGTTTACAATATGTTTTGGATTTAAAAACTGAAAAATGGCATTGATGACATCTAGTGGTGAATTATGGCACTACAACTTATTTATGCCTAAAAGAAACCTGGCTTGAAGCCCAAAATTAGATAAGACTTTGGCTGGCCTTGGAAGCTTTTACTATTGAGAATTGCAGCTGAGAAAAAAGGAACAGACTTGGGGGCTGCTTATCTGTGTGGCAGAGATGATAATATTACTCTAAAATTGGCCTGTCTGAATTATGAACACAAATACTGACTTTCAGAACTGTCTTGTGGAACTAGTTTCCTGTAGAAGAAACATATAGAACACTTTGGATTATAAATCTTGATTGTTAAACAACCTTTAATGGTTCTTTTTTCTCCCTGGACAGAAAGAATATATTTCTCATTGGACAGAAAAAAATGAATTTTACTTATATCTGCTTAGGGGAGGTTTAGGAACGGCTTTTTGGTTGGATAAATTTATAAAGACTACTTACAAAAAATAAAATAAAATGGATGTTCCATACTTAGCTCTAAATAGTAAAAAAACATCCTTAACATCTGTCCCCAGTAGCCTCAGTTTGCCATATCACCAAGAAAATAATGATGAACCACAGAAAGAAATTCTCTCCATGTTGAAATTAATACAAGAAACAATTGCTTTAGCTTGTGATCAGGTTAAAAATAACACAAAGGAGATAAAAGAACAATTTTCTAATTTAAATCTACAAACTCAGAAAATAACTACAGAGAAGAAACCAGCAACCCAGAAAATAGAAGGAAAACTAGAGAATGCTGACACAAACATTGATGATCTAAAGGAAGAAACTAACGACCAGACTCAGATAAATGAAAACTTAGAAGACACAATGATAATATTGGAAATGGAAAAGACATTTTACAAACCTAAGTTACAGAACATACTGGAGGATAAGGAAAGAGAGCTGATGGAATGGAAGATGAAGCCATTAACAGAACTGTGAGGAACTGGAGAAGGAGGGAGGCTGTTTAATGACTATTAACGGGCTAGTTCTTCCAAAAATACGTTGTCTCTTGCCAAAGAAAAGGACAATTCCAGTTTACCCAGAAAAAACCCCAGATACTTAAAGAAGCTAATTAACACCATTTCCCACCCATTCACTTCATGTGGTCTACAGAATGTGTGGGAAGAACTGAAAGGAAGGGAAGGCAGGGACTAGATCACCAACAATCAAAAGAGTTGAGCTCCATCACGGGTGCATTGTCTGAAGAAGACTGATGAGTTGAGAGAGTGTGTTCTAATTCCGAAGACCATCTCGCTCAAATTGCTATACATTAACCTTTCCAAAACCTGACCCTTTTTAGAGGTTTTTGCCACAACATCTACCATCTCCTGCCAGAATGTAAGTCAAAGGCCGACCTACAGCAACTGACTGTGGTTCTTTGAGGTTAAAAAAAAAAAGGACTTTAGAAGCTCCCCTGGCAGATTTCACAGTTCAGTGTTGATAAAACAATTTTTATGAGCATCTCAGTAAGGCATAACTATCTGTGGAATGATGTCCCATAAATTCTACCCCACTCTCACCATGGATGTCAAGGCTCTCATCGTTTTTATTTATATATTACACTAGATTTATTAAGTCTGCAATTTAGTAAATACAAATAATAAACAGGTTTATGGAACTGTGCACTTGATCCTTTTTAAAACTGTCTTACTCTCCGAAGGCATTATTGTTAGGTCAACAATTGCCAATTCAAGAAATGATCTCCTCCATTTCCATCCTCCACTAATGTCTAGGGATGCTACTGATGAAATGTCTCCTTTTGCTCTCCAGGGGCCCCCTGGCACAGATGGACCTATAGGACCCATAGGACCCTCGGTAAGCTCACCAGCTCAGTTACGCATGGCGTGAAATGACCCATCGGACCTTTGGTTGCAACCAAGGCATCTGGTGGGTGGAAATTCTGGGTGTTATAGTCCACGAGATCTTGAGGCCTCCACCACCTCCGAGCACCCGGAGCTGCAGCAAGCCTTGCCTTCTGTAGCAAATGGTTTGATGGGAACCTATTTATGTTTTGCAAACAACAGGTTTGATAGGTCTTTCCTTGAGGGGTTTCCAATCTAAAAACAGGCAACAGAAAGGAAGGGGCAGCGTCAAAGGTTGGGTATCAGAGGTTGAGTGAACAGGGCAAACTTTTGTGATTTCCTTAGATATATATACTTCTTAGCATTTTTGAGAATGCAGGAAGGAAATATACTGTGTGTACTGTCATGGGTTCCGAAAGAAGAAGCTTTTCAAAGAACTTTGAGGCTTTGTTTTCCTTAAAGAATCCTTTTATTGCTACATAGCTTCGGCACATACATAATGAAGCCAAAAACTGAATCCTCCCTCCCCCAATCACTCGTAACAAAGCATAACTCACTCCTTCATTTTACAGTCATCAATCACGTTCTCCAATTAGTTTGAAGTGTGAACTTTCCCTCCCGCAACTCCTTTAGTTACAACTGACCTTGGAAATACTGTACTGAAATATTGTTGTGGCTAACTATCCCCCCAAGTACATACTTTCCCACCCGCTATTCTAACATTGTCTAACTTTAACTCTAGAAGGGATATACAGGTTAAATAAAACATGCTTGCTTCTTCATATATGTCAAGCAAGAACATCTGATGTTAGCAGTCTTGACATGTACTTTATATATGATCTGGGGTCCTAGTTCTCCCTAAGGAGGTGAACCTGACTCTGGAGTTTATCACACCGGGCTGGTGGTGAGGGCTCTGATTATCTGAAGGGTTCTCTGGATTCAACGCTGCTCTACAGATTGAGAAGGAGCAGGTCAGGGACAAAGGTTCCAGCTTTCATTCATTCATCACCTAAGTTACCTGCCAGACACTGGCTAACCAGCCCAGGGAGAACTTCAGGTCTGCCAAAAAGTTGCAACAACTACAGGCAAAGAACGCCATTGTTATTCTCTCCTTGCATCAGGGTCCCAGAGGAGAACGAGGATTGCCAGGCAGCTCAGGAGAAAAAGGAGACCAGGTAAGATATTCTGGGCCAGAAGTGTTTTCCACTCTGAAAGCGGCCACCGCATGGGCCAACGTGCCCACAGGCTACATCCAGAAGGAGGGAGGGTGTCCTAGTCTTCTGGAACTGCAGTATTGTCCCTGTGCCGCACCGCCTTGAGTGTTTATCCCTCTAGTCTCTGCTGGAGGCTTGATCTGGAGTGCTACAGGAGTGTCTGCAGGGCATGGTCGAAAAGGTTGAGGACAGCTGAGCTGGTGCAGTTAAAATTCTGTCTGTTTTATGTCAACCGTCCCACTGGTTAGACTCTCTCGAGTCATTCTTTTTAGCAAGAGTAAGCCTTTACTGAAAATTCCATATGGGTACAAGTAGAAAAGCCAGTTCTAATGATTTCGCCTGTAACAGCATAGGGTAGTGATGGCGAACTTTTTAGAGACCGAGTGCCCAAACTGCAACCCAAAACCCACGTATGTATCGTCGGGTGCCAGGAGGGCATAGCCCATTAGGTGGGTGTGGCCCATTGTATGGGTGTGACTGCGGTGGTAACGGCAGACTGGGTGGGACTAAAAAGTTCAATCAAATCAATTCCAATTTTGCAAGATCTTTTTTTTCCCGCGAGAAGTTGAAATTGATTGATTGGTTGAACCTTTTTTTGCACACGGCGGCAGAGGCCTAAAGCGAAAAGGTTTTATAAAACCCAGCTGAAGGCCTAGGACTGGGGCAACAGCGCACGTGCCCACAGAGAGGGCTCTGAGTGCAACCTGTGGCATGCGTCCCATAGGTTCGCCGCCACGGGCATAGGAAAATGTTCCCTTTTCCCCCCTGGCCCTCCCATTATCCACCAATCATTTGCACTTTTGTTGTTTTGGGAGTGGTCTGTCTGCCTTGGATGTTCCCAGCTGATGACTTTGGGGTGTTGGGTCTGTTTCAGGCTTCCAGTCGGCACATTTGCATTCCACATTTCCCTCCCACGCCTCCCTTACATTCCAATACCTTCCCTCTCCCCATCCGTTACTGTTGTCTGGTTGTGAGTGGGGCTGCGTAGCGAGTCAACCGTGACAGTTTTTTTATAGCCTTGGACATATAACACCCATAAAAAATGGGTATAGCTTTCATCGCCCCATCGTGGCCACCATCTTGACTGTTTTGGCCATAGAGGTAGTCCTCAGCTTATGACCACAATTGAGCCCAAAATTTCTGTTGCTAAGTGAGACATTTCTTAAGTGAATTTTGCCCCGTTTACAACCTTCCTTGTCACAGTTGCTTAGATCAGAGGTCCCCAACCTTTTGGGCACCAGGGACCGGTTCCGTGGAGAGAGGTTTTTCTGCGGACTGGAGGGGGCGTGGTTTCATGTACTGCCTGCATCCCGCAGATGGGGCTTTGCGCCACCAGCAATATCCTAAAGTTTTCTTTGGTGAAGGGAAGGGGACAAGAGGGGAGGGGAGGGGGAAATAAAGAAGTCTCTTAAGAGCTTGATGCCACCTGAGTAAATGGACATAATACAGAAATCCAGTACGGAAGTTATTTGTCTTTGTCCAGTACGGAAGTTATTTGCTTTCTTCTGAGAGCGTTTTTCAGCTTCCCTGAGATTTCATTGTGGTCTCCCCTCCAAAATGCTAATCTGGATTTATTCTGCTTAGCTTTTCAGATCAGCACAGCTTGCATTCAGGGGGTTATATTGCCTTATCTTGGGCATTGCTGAGTATTAATCTGCATTTATTTTATCCCCAGGGTTTTCAAGGCCAGCCTGGCTTTCCGGGGGCACCAGTAAGTTTGGCACATCCCAAAATATTTTGTTCTGGAGTGTCAGTCTCCTTACACAATCACATTTGTAAAATGTCTGTGAGCTGAAACAGTGCATGGCCATAAATAAAGAATCACAGAGCCTCTTGCATTAGATCCCAATGACATTCTTTAAGATTCTCTTTAGGGATAAGATCCCCAGGAGAAATATGTTTAAGAAAGGCAGTACAAGTGTGAGAAAACCAAATGTACTAACAGAAGAGAATATGTGTTGAAATGTGGGCTCCTGGCTGCTGTCTGAGCTTGGTTGTTTTCTAGCACACATTTCATTACCCAACTAGGTAACATCATCAGAACACCGATGATGTTACCTAGTTGGGTAACAAGCATTTTTAAGAAAACAACCAAGCTCAAAAAACAAATGTCCCAGTCCTTTCTCTGGCAGTACAGAAATGGAAAAGATAGACCACAAACTAACTTTTCACGAGCTTCCAATCCTCGTTCTCCAATCTGGTGCCCTACAGATATAGTTTGGACCATGCTAGTTGGGAACTAGTAGTCCAGCATAGCTGGAGAACATCAGCATGAAAAATTCTGCTTAAAGCTAACCAAAGGCACAACCTGTGAAGACTGTCATGGTTCCGACAGATGAAACTCTTCAAAAGAACTTCGAGGCATTGTTTACCGTAAAGAATCTTTTATTCGAGAAACAAAGTATTGGCACTACATAGTTAAAGCCAAAAACTGAATTCCCCTCCCCTTGGCACAAAGTAGTAAAGCACAATTCCCTCCTCCAATTAACAGTCATAAATCACATTCCCCAATTAGCTTGAAGCGTGGGCTTTCTCCCCAGCTCTCCAGCCACCAAAACTCTATCAACTCTCGGCCCAAAGACCTTGGGTTCCCATGGCTGAGTTATTATTGTTATGACTAGCTGGACTCGTATCCACATTCCCCCTCCCAGCATCAACGAACCCTAAAAGCGATAGAGAAAAGATGGCTACATTTCCATCTGTTGTCAAAGCAAGAACATCCGATGTTAGCAGCATTGACAAAGATTTCATCAGATCTTCACAGAACCACACAACCTTCTGGCCAGTTTTTTTCACTTCCTAACTGCTCCTTGGGGTGGAAAATCTCAGCCGGGGCCTCCTCTTGGCCCACTAGGGCAAAATATCAACTCATCTTCCATTCAGAGATCAGCGTCCTTTTCACCAGAGCGCATAGCCTCACATCAAAATCTCATTATACTGTGAAGCACCTGAGCCGACTCAAATCTCGGAAGCTCCAAAATTGGATAATGAGTAAAATTAGAGGGCAGTTTTGGTTTTTGCAGAGTTCCTGTCCCCTCCCTATGATAGGCAATAAAAATGTATAGTTGCCTAATTCAAGTAATTTAGACAGACTGCGGAATCCTGCTTGTCCTATTACAAGAGTCCACACTTAGATCTTTTCTTACTAATGTAGCATATTTAGAGTTGTAAAATCATTGCTGATGTCTTTTTTGTTTTTAAGGGTCCTCCAGGTTTTCCAGGAAAAGCAGGATCTCCTGGGCCTCAAGGCCCCCCAGCCGAAAAGGTGAGTGACCAAAGTCAAATCTTAAGAGGAAGGGAAGATTGAAAGAAGCAGGACCAATGTGCAAGCAGCGGCAAAGATGTAAACATACCCGCCACCCAATTTCAATGGGAGCAAAATTGCACCATCCAGTGAAACGCCTTTTTCCTTTTGTGTTCTCATTCACACCGAGAAGTTGTTTGAGAAAGGTGCATCAAGAAGATTACATATATTAGGGTTAGTTGAGCTGAAACGATAACGGTAGCATTTCTGTATAAAAGCATGGATGTTTCTCAAATATATATTAGGGAAAGCTGCATATAAAACGACACACATAAGGTGCAAGCAATTCTCTTACAATTCTCTTATAATTGATTTTCCTGGAGGGTTTTTTTCCCCCCCCAACTGTAAAAATATTGACGGGGGGAAAGAATGCATGGAAATCCGTGTGGCTAACGCAACTGCAGATTTAGTGCTGATATAAACTGTTGGGGGAAAGGAATTCTCTGGGCTTCTGGGCTTAGAGAAGAAGAGTGGGTTGTGGCTTCCAAACGGGAAGAACAAGCCCAAAAGAAGGAAAACATGAAGGTCAACTTCTCTGCTGGCCTTGAAATTTTATACCAGTTGCAGAACAGTTGCATGTGCAGTGTCCCAGATGATCTTACATGGACCCTGCTCAAGCAACGCTTCTGTGCCATGTCCTGGATGGCAGGGAGGGAGGGAGCTGCCAATGATCTTTTCGGCCGTCCTCACCACTCTCTGCACCGCCTTCCTGTCTGAAGCAGGGATGCCTCCAAACCAGACTGTGATGCTGTATGACAGGATGCTCTTATCTTCTCTGCAAGCAGCTGGGGGAAAATGAAGGCTCTTCTTCTCCCAAAGTTACAAATTCATATGCTTCTATCTCAGCTTGCTGTCCACAACAAGACCATGGATGAAGGGGGGGGGGGGTAGTAACCTCCAGAAGAGCAAGTAGGGGGGGAACTGGGGTGTGTTGCTCAAAGGAGGCGTTTCTGCAGGGCTTTCCTAACAGATACATACTATTGGAGAGTTTTATCTTCATATTACTGGTCACGGGAACTTTTTCTGCAGATAATGGATGGAGAAGGCATTGGCAGTATAGATCGGAAAAGAAGCTCCTTTGAGGATGCCAAGGGAAAAAATAGCTATTGGGTTGCAACAGGGAAGAGATTAGGAGAAGCAGGGGGGATGGGGTGTGTGTGTGTGTGTGTCTGCCAATTGCTGGCTTTTGCTGACATCTGCTGCGGTCTGCAAGGACTGCAGCCTGGAGGTTTTGCTTGGCTCTTGGGAAATCGGACGGGAAGGGAAGTAAATCATGAGCCTAAATTTAAGAAGGATTGTCTATGGAGATCTTTCAATCATCCAGGGTCAGGGGTCTTCACACTTGGCCCTTTTATGACTTGTGGACTTCAACTCCCAGAATTCCTCAGCCAGGCACGGGTGCCTGGCTGAGGAATTCTGGAAGTTGAAGTCTGCAAGTCATAAAAGGGCCAAGTGTGAAGACCCCCGATCCAGGTGATAGTTATCCCTAAGGTGCTTTTTTTCCCAAAAGGCAACTGGATTTTGGAGGTTTTTGAAAACAAAAAAGGGGCCTTTGGGTTTAAGAAGGATTGTACATTGTGGTGCTCGGATGGGACACACACACACACACACACACACACACACACCCGGGAGGGCTCCCAAAGCATAATTTTAACTTCTCCCAGAAGCAGATCAGCTTTCTGTCATCCAGAGAGTGGGACAGGGAAATATTTTACAGCTCACTTGTAAGCTGCCTAGACTGAGTCACCTTGTAGGGCAGATGGGCGGCATAAAAATTTAATACAGGTAGCCCTTGACTTACAACCACAACTAACGCCCGAGATTTCTGTTGCTCCGTTTTCAACCTTTCTTGCCACAGTTGTTAAGTAAATCTGGCTTCCCCATTGGCTTTGCTTGTCAGAAGGTCACAAGAAGAGATCACGTGACCTTGGGACACGGACACGGTCATAAATATGAACCAGTTGCCAAATCTAGACAGCATACTAAAAAGCAGAGACATCACCCTGCCAACAAAAGTGCGTATAGTCAAGGGCATGGTTTTCCCAGTGGCAATGTATGGCTGTGAAAGTTGGGGCATAAGAAAGGCTGAGCGCCAAAGAATGAAGGCCTTTGAACTCTGGTGCTGGAGAAGACTCCTGTGAGTCCCCTGGACTGCAAGGCGATCAAACCGGTCAGTCCTAGAGGAGATCAACCCTGACTGCTCTTTAGAAGGCCAGATCCTGAAGTTGAAACTCAAGTCCTTTGGCCACCTAATGAGAAGGAAGGACTCACTGGAGAAGAGCCTAATGCTGGGAAAGATTGAGGGTAAGAGAAGATGGGGACGACAGAGAATGGGGTGGCTGGATGGAGTCACTGAAGCAGTAGGCGTGAGCTTAAAGGGACTCCAGAAGATGGTAGAGGACAGGAAGGCCTGGAGGAACATTGTCCATGGGGTCGCGATGGGTCGGACATGACTTCGCAACTAACAACAAGTCGAGGACTGCCTGTAAAAAAATGGAAAGGGAGAGGCATTGGGAATCTAACCCCATTTCTCCCCAGCCCAGGCTGTGTCCTCTCCTGGCTTCTTCTCCTTTGCTCTTCCTTCCCATGGCAGCCAACAGGAGCTGAATCACTGAAAGAGGTTTTCTTCCCTGCAGGGCAGTGAAGGGATGCGCGGGTCTCCTGGCATGGCTGGTCCCCCCGGGCCTCCAGGACAACCTGGACTACAGGTGAGTAAGGTGGAGACACGGTAGTTTAAATCAGAGTCTCCCAACCTTTCTGGATTTGTGGACCGACAGGAGGGGGGAGAGGAGAGGAGATGGTTCCACACGAGTGGCTGGCACAGGTCCATTTGAAGGGTGTGCATGCACACCCACCCCTTGCACAAACGGAGCACACACGCATTCTCTCAGCCCTTGGTCTAAATCAGGGGTAGTCAACCTTCGCTCTTTTATGACTCGTGGACTTCAACTCCCAGAATTCCTGAGCCAGCTGTACTGGCTCAGGAATTCTGGGAGTTGAAGTCCACGGGTCATAAAAGAGCCAAGGTTGACTACCCCTGGTCTAAATCACCCTCCAATGAAGGTGGGAAGACCGCTGTTTCACCATAGTGTGAAATCAAGCAGCACAGTTTTCCTCTTTCCACCCCAAGAAGTCACTTTGAGAAGCTGAAGCCAACTCAGCTTCATCCTGTTCTTGAACCAACAACTACTTAGCTTAAGATTTGCTATGTCTCCTCATCCCCCATCCTAAAACAAGGGAACTGTGTCAACGTGAAGTTGGAATTTAAAAGATTTAAAAGTTCCGTCCACTGGGGCAGCCGGTGGGGGGCAAAGACTGGGGGATTAAGGATCAGGAAGATGCTTTCTTATTTTTGTAACAGAAACTATGGCTGCTGTCCTTCTGTAAAACATTTATTATGCGTGCCACGTATTCAAGAAGCCCTGCTTCCCCAGATACTTTTGTACTAACAGCACAAGAGTCATAGAGGTGTGATGTGACCTGAATGTCAGGAAGTTCTTGTTTCAAGATATCAACCGCTTGCAAGATTGCCGTAGATAAAGATTAGGAGGAGACTTTTTGCCCTTTTTCAAATGGACCAATTTTATGAAAAAGCTTGGAAAAGGGCACTTGGTTAAATTAGATCTCATTAGAAGCCATGGCTTGTACAGCCATCCATTTAGATCAGTGGTTCGCAACCTTTTTAATGCCGCGACCCCCAACCGATCGTAAGTCGAGGACTAAGCCGGTCGTAAGTCAAGGACTACCCAACCGATCGTAAGTCGAGGACTAAACCGGTCGTAAGTCGAGGACTAAACCGGTCGTAAGTCGAGGACTACCCAACCGGTTGTAAGTCGAGGACTTTCCCTGCCCGGGGGCGCCACGCATGCGTGGTTCCGCCCCCTGCGCCGGCCGAGGCGTAGCTGGCAAGCGGCAGAGACGGAGCAGGCCGACCACCAGCTGGCCCAGCCCAAGGGAGGCAAGGCACCCGCCGGAAAAGGGGAAAAAATGGCGGACAGCCTTGCTTGGCGACCCCCGTGAAATGGTCGATCGACCCCAAATGGGGTCGTGACCCATAGGTTGAGAACCGCTGATTTAGATTCTTTAGCCGCGATCTGCTCAAACAAGCAAATGACAGTGTAACAAGCAGAACATTACGTAAATTTGCTTGATGACAATATTCCCTTTCCATTTTAGCTTCAGTGGCTGATATTGCAGCAATTTTCAGATGTGGGTTCCCAGTTCTAACTGTCGTGCGCTATTTCCCCATTACACAGACTCCAATTTAGCATCAAGGATATTTTGCAAGTCTACATCCAACCATAATTTCTGATTCTGTAGGGCCATCAATTACAAACTCTGCTTGATCATCATGCCGGATCATTATAGTGAGCCATCATCATGTGGCTCATTTATTTTCATCTTAACAACTACGCTTAAAATGTTCTGGCTTAAAGATATGTATGAATCCATCCATAAACCAAACTTCAGCACACTAAGCTCTCTTAATACTTACAGTGCATTAAATAAACATAAAGCATTGACCGTTGCACTTGGCTTTTTTTTCTCTCTAGGCAGTTCAAAGAAAGAATGCACATGTAATCTAAGTTTATTTTTAGGGTCCACCTGGCCTGGAGGGACAAGATGGAAAAGATGGAAAACCAGGGTCACGGGTAAGAATGTGTGTCCCAGTTGCAAGTTACACTAGTCTTACTTATAACATTCACATGAAAAATGCCCTTGTAATAGGCGATCAAACCGGTCAGTCCTAGAGGAGATCAACCCCAACTGCTCTTTAGAAGGCCAGATCCTGAAGTTGAAACTCAAGTACTTTGGCCACCTAATGAGAAGGAAGGGCTCACTGGAGAAGGGCCTGATGCTGGGAAAGATGGAGGGCAATAGAAGAAGGGGACGACAGAGAATGAGGTGGCTGGATGGAGTCACTGAAGCAGGAGGCGTGAGCTTAAATGGACTTCAGAAGATGGTAGAGGACAGGAAGGCCTGGAGGAACGTTGTCCATGGGGTCGCGATGGGTCGGACACGACTTCGCAGCTAACAACAACAATAGGTTTCATCCTACAGTCACTGCTGGCTCTTTAGGATTGAAAAGTGGCCCACTTTTGATGTCTTCTGGCCTTCAGCTTCTTGAGAAAAATAGCAAGGTGGTGGTTATACTGTATGCCTCCTGGGAAAAGAGAGCGGATCCGTTTATATCTGGATGGGAAGTAGGGGGAGAAGACAGATTTAGTATGCTGAAGACTTGGGATGTTGCCGTTCTCTTTCTTTAAGTAGCACTAACTCTTGACTTCTTCTAGGGTGACTCAGGACCACCAGGACCTCCAGGAATGATGGGCCCTCCAGTAAGTTGTTGGCCATCCCAGGTTTTACTAGACATTGGGAAAGAGGGAACAGAAATGTCTTCTTCCAGTGATCCCTTAGTCTTTTGAGAGATCCGATGGTGCCAATTTTTCATCAGCTAGATGATGCCCTCTTAGCTTTGTCTTGGGATGCAGATGTTTATCAGCCGTTATCAACAGTAATGATTGTTGTCTGATACTAATTCAAGCCAGGCTCTTTTGTAAGGAGGTATTTCTGCTCTGTTGGCAGCCCTGAAGCTTCAGTGCTCAGGGCCTGCTGACTTTGATCTAGTAGCCAATTTTATAGCCTCTCTATTGTTTTCTTTTTCTTCTCTCTAGGGATTCAAAGGGAAAACAGGTCATCCTGGCCTGCCAGGACAGAAGGTTAGCCTTGCCATTGATTGCAAGATCAAAATGTGATACATGTTCCTTCTCATTTATTCAACCGCAGGTCAAATGGCTCAAATATATTGTCTAGGGGATGGTTTCTCCTCGCCTGAAAATTGGAAAGCGAGTCTGACGCTGAAAACTGTAATTCTCACTGATATAAACCAGTGACTCTTAATGAGCTCCTTAGGAACAAAATGTGCATTTGTTTGTGTAAACGTATTCTTCCTCAACTGACAATTCCCCACTACCAATTTCCCATCATAAAGGTCTACAGCAGTGTTTCTCAACCTTGACAATTTTAAGGCATGTGGACTTCAACTCCCAGAATTCCACAGCCAGCAATGCTGGCTGTGGAATTCTGGGAGTTGAAGTCCACATGCCTTAAAATTGTCAAGGTTGAGAAACACTGGTCTACAGCATTATTGCCCATTTATTCCCCGCCCTCTCCTTTCCCCAATTCATGACAGAACACCAGGCGCCAAGCCAAAGCTGGTGGATCTGACATAACCTATCAAGACTCTTCACAGCTTATGATAAACACAACAATACAGTTAGCTAGAAATATTAAAAACAATGCTCGGTTAAAATCAACAACTAAAATCCTTTAAAAAAAAAAGTGCTTGGTCTTAAAAGCTTTTAAACCAAGACTTGTCATAATTCAACACCAAATGCATCACCCCCAAAACTGGGTGACCACAAAGAAAACACTAGTAGACTTTAAATCACAGAGCAAGAGGATCGTGACACAAGCCACAGACATCTTATAAAAGCAATAAGCAGTCCTTTGTATTTTGCCTGGAAAGAAATAGGCAACACGTGATGGTGCTATCAGCAGAAGACAATATTTATAGCTCAGGGTCTTTGGTGCCTGGTTGTTTTCTTGCAGGACATTTCATTAACATCATCACGGCTTAACTGATGATGTTACCTAATCAGATAATGAAACGTCTGCAAGAAGACAACCAAGGATCCCACACGATGATATGCTTTTACCTCAGATGAGTTCTGTCAGACCCACAGAGAACACATTGCAGATGTCACCGGCACCACAGCATCAAGGTCATTTTTTTTTCCAGTTGGCCAGTCGGATCAATGATACTTCTGAATGTTGTCTGGGGAAAGTGTGAGAGTTTCACATCTAGGAGCAACTCCAAGCTACACGCTTGGCTTCTTCTTCCAGAGCTATGTCACCTCATTCCGAATAGAGAAATCTATCACTTCTCTAGAAAGGTGACCCTCTCAAGTCAGCATCCCCGTCTTGTGTGGTTGCATTTTCCATATATTATTCTATACGCAACCCATTATCTACGGAAGGAAAAATATTTCTGCATACATTGGGCTACTCCTGAAGGTGAGCATCTAAGCTGACACAGCAGCTTTAATAATTACAACAGAAAGGAGATTTATTTCAGGAGGAATACGACATGGATAGGCAAAGCCTACATTTTCCCAGAAAGACGATGAGAGAAGACAGGCTTTTTAGGTGTGTATCTAGGAGAAAAGGCAGAGAGATTTCAGATTAGCTGCCTCAAGAGATCAGGAGCACACAGAGTATTAAAGAGAAAGACAGAATAAATGATTAACATAATTTATGACCCTTGTCCTTGTGTTCAGTAGGTGACAAAGTGTTGAAGAATCTCTACCACTGAAGTCACAGGTCCAACATTGTTAACTGCAGACCGGCATTCAAGTTCATGACCATTGTTTTGCCAAGTGCCAAAGCAGTGATCAGGTTCCTAGGCAGTTGGTTCTTTTGCATCCAGAAATAATGAACAAACCAGTAAATAAAGGGATTTTATTATTAGTTCAAGCAAACCGACTGAAAGGCATAACATAAAAAGCATACATACCAAGCAAGCTAATACTCAAAATCTCTTACAGGCAGCTCCTTAATAACAACAGCAGAGATACCCTAAGGACTTCCAGTTTCCACAATACTAATGCTAGGTTACGTGCTCCAGAGCTTTGATCAGAACCTGGCCCTGTGGCTTCATGGCCCTACTATGGTCAGGAGACGGCAACCTTGCTTGGTGGAACATGACTCTGGGATATAAATCAAAAGTTTGAGACTTTCACAGCCACACAAAGCTCTGAAGCTACAGGAAGATTCTCCCCTCCTTCTCCTAACAAGAGAAAAGGCAAACAGGTTACCTCGTAATCAGCTCTAAACTGTTCTTAATAGGAAGGGGAAATATCACGAAGCTCCCCAAAATAACAATGGTCTTCTACGTTACCACTTCAATCATTTCTTGACAGTGTTATGAAAACAGATTTCAGGGTCATCAGCTCAATGATCACGCAACAACAATCCAGCTAGTTGCGTTAGAAACTGAAAATATATTGGAGACCGAGAGACATTGTAAAGGCCCCCGTTTTGAGAAGCAGTTCTTTCTAAGAACTTCTAAGAAGTTCTTTCTAAAGAACTTCAGTAAAAAGATCTCAAGTAGACTCTGGAGAACTGCTGCCAATTAGGGCAGACCCATCTCTCTCGAACCTATCCCTCCAGGAACCCCCTGAATTCTCACTGAGAATGGCCTTTGAGAATTGTGGGGATCGAAACCCAACATTGGAAACTTGAAAAATAGTGAAGGAGTTCCCCTTGGGCTGTGTGAACCACAGATTTGATCTGGCTCCAGGCAGCTTCACACAACACTTCAATCCCAAAGGTGTGTTTGGCTGTGACAAAGCATTCAGAGATTAGGGCCCATTGGGACGGTGAGGAGGACAGGCTGATCCTCACGATCATCTGTCACTGAGGCTGGATGAAGAAGACCAGGAAGAAGATAGGTTTCGATTGTTTTGTATCTTCCATAATATAAACCTTCTAAGCCACGTCTCCTTGACTTTCTAGGGTGATTGTGGTAAGCCAGGACCTCCTGGAAATACAGGCCGGGCTGGAGCTGAGGTGAGTTATCAGCATCCAGCCAAAAGTGAATTGCAAGGTCAGGGGTACACTCTTGAGTTATAATTCTGCACCTGTGTTTGTCTGGATTCAGCAGTGGGGGATCTATGAATATATACGGAAGTTAGTTATAGAAGGGTTTTCATTCATTGTCATAGTATGCCATGAGTGGAACTCAAGTGGAGAATGCAGAGTAGATGAAGGATGTACAAAATGGTACAGATGGCTAAATTCATTATACCTTGGTTTCTGTTCCATGGGACAAAGAAAATGAGTTGGAATTAGCAAGGTGTTGGGAGGAGAGCAAAGTTAATCCACAAGATTAATTCCTCTACTAGCTTACCTTAGTTCACTTGTACTTGTTGAGTGTAGGTCTGTATGTGTTTGGAGAGAGAGAAACTGAATGAGGGACACGGAGGCAGCAACTATCTTCACAATCAAACCACCCTCCCAGAGAAGGTCGTGCCATGCAGATTATTATGTGACGTAGGCACAGAATACTTGCTATGTCATGGAGAAAGGTAGTCCTCGACTTACAATTGTACCCAGAATTATGGTTGTAAGTCATTGCCATTGTTAAGCAGCTCACCAGGTGACCAGACTCAATTTTATGACATTTTTTTGCCGCAATTATCAAGCAAACACAGATTGATTGTTAAGTGAATCCATTTTATCCAATGGGCATTTTTTTGCTGGAAACTTGGAAATGAACCCTGGCAACTGGCAAAAAAAAATGTCAAAAATTGTCATGGGAGTACAGGACACTTCAAATAAAGGTGAGCTGTTTGCCAGGGTGCTGCTGTGGTCAATATGTTCACCACCTTGAGTTGTTTGTAAAACTAATAAAGACAGGATACAAATAAATACATAACTTGAAAATTGGATCGTAAGTGGTTTTGGGGGAGTCCATTGTAACTGCAAACAGCCACTAAGCAACTAGTCGTAAGTTGAGGACTACCTTTAGATGCAACCAGGGGACAGTAGACAAGGCCCAGTCCTATGTATACATCCCAAGATACGTGTGTCAATGCTATAGTAATGATTTCCTTAGTCATAACTTGCCCAGATTGTCCCTGGCAATGCATTTATATAATTTGCTCCAAGAATAAGCTAACCCAAACAAATATTTGCTCTAATGTTCTTTTCCTTCTCCAGGGCGAGCCCGGTCTTGTGGGGCCTCAAGGTAGACCAGGACCTCCTGGACATGTCGTAAGTCAAAATAGTCTTTCCTGTATTTTGTACGAGCAGATTCATAGCTGGGTTGCAAAGATGTCTATAAAGCTCCCAGTCAGGCTTCTGAACCGGTGGTAAAAGCAGGTGCCTCTTGGCATAAAAGCCCAAGTATAAATGCCAACTGTTCAATTCTCCATTTGTATCATTTTGTCCCTTTCTGGATTCCTCTTTTTTTTTTAAAAAAAAAATGCAATTCAAAACAACAAAAAAAGCACCATTTACATTTTGGTTTTAATACTAGCTAAGCTGGAAAAAGCAAGCCCACCAAACATATTCCACAGAAATAACAGCAGTCGATCAGAATAAATTATTCCAATTGCCAGTTGCTCCTCAACCCAAGGATTGAAGATTGGCACCGAAAACTATTGAACTTCAGTTATTGCAAGTGACCTGTAGATTTTGATCCATTTTATTCTCAGTCTGGACTGGTATTTAGAAATTTATGTTCCACTTTATTGAGTGAAGAGACCCAATTTGGTCTAGTGGTTAAGGCACCAGGTTAGAAACCCGGAGGCCATGAGTTCTAGTCCTGCCTGCCTTAGGCATAGAAGCCAACTGAATGACATTGGGCCAATCATCAGGAAAATCTGATCCCGCCTTGGGCATGAAATCCAAGTGGGTGACCTTGGGCCAGTCACCCTCTCTCAGCCCAACTCATCTCACAAGGTCCCACAAAGGAGGATATGAGATATGTTCACCGCCTTGAGCTGTTTATAAAATTAATAAAGCAGGGACATAAATAAATTAAATAGTCTTTGCCAAATCTTAATTCTATGACTCCCATCTGTCCATAACTGGGCACCAACTGGGCTGAAGCCTTTTGGAAATTCTTTTGTTTAATGAGGAAGAGAAACCTTAACATTGCGGGATCCTTGGTGCTCTCAGAGTTTGATTGTATTCTTTTTTTTAAAAAAACCCACATTTTATTGTTTTTTTAAATTCTTAAGAAAAGGTACTCAGGACCCACCTTGGTGTTTGGGTAATCAAACATTCAAAAGTAAAAACATATATAAACAACTCAACTCAATACATTCACTGTCCCCTCTCTATTTCCCTCAAATAACATAATATGTTTAAAATATTCCGTTTCTAATTTAAATTTCTATTACTACTAAACCTGTTTTATAACTTTGTCAGTTTACAATTACCATAAACAAATTTAACTTTAAATCAACAAGTTATCAATTCAGGTATCCCTTCCAGATATATTCTAATTCTTAATCTCTCACATCCCTCATTTTATCACCAATCTCATTTACTTCTTCTTCCACTACACAATAGATATCCTAATAAAAATAAAATATTAATCTACCCTATATATATATAATCCCACAGTCAAAGAGTTTGATTGTAGTCTTGTAGACGTTTCATTACCAAACTAGGTAACATCGTCATCGTTAGTCTAGTACTGACTTAACATTGCACATTAGAATTTGAACCAGAGACAAACTAGAGGGCACAGACCGGTGTGTCTGGTTACCCAAAGCTGCCATATTTGTCATTCATATCTGGAGAATTCTGATTCCTACACTGGAAATGTAGCAGGAAGCTAGACAGCACCTTGCCTTCATTTGTTATGTGTGTTATGCTTCTCTGCAGCCCAACTCATGAAGCAGACTGGGAAAAGAATATCTGGGCAGATAAGAACAAAGATTTAAGGAGGGAGACACCTCTTGCTCAAATAACCATTATGATGTCAAGATCAGATACCTTTTGAGACCAGACTTAACTTATGAACAAGAAACATGAATACTCACGATTTGGTCTCTATTCAGCAAGGATTCTGACATGAATGGATGAATATTTCTGAACTTTCCAAAATGCACCCAGGAGAACTTTGTAAAGGTTGCTGTTTTAGATGTCCATGGTTAACTCCGGAATATGCTTTTCTGCTAATTCATTTTGGATTTATTTTTTATACATGAAAGGCAGAGTCAGTCTTATTGGGGAAATACTCAATGGGGATAAGTAAATTCAGCGTTTCCAAATCCTGGTGACTTTAAAGAGTTGGTAGGGGAATTCTGGGAGTTAAAGTCCAGACCTCTTCAAGTTACCAAGGTTGAGGAACAGGTGTTTGTCTATATTCTTACATCCTTCTACAATTTTTCTCTTGTCTCTTCAGGGTACACCTGGAAGCCCTGGGCAACCTGGTCCATCAGGGCTTGCTGGAGTAGTGAGTATCCTCCTTTCCTTTTTGACATTCTTAGACTCTGGTCCTCTTGAGTCTGATCCAACTTGGATCCTCTTCACTTCTAAATGAAGCCACAGTGTAGGAACCATTCGTTCTTGAATCTTGGAAATCATTCTCCGCTGGATTTTCCCATTTCTTTGTAAAGACGGTGAATCCCTCCCTCCAAAATCATGTCCAACCAAAGAAGAAAATGATCTGACTGTCTCCAGGAACCATCCATCCAATTGTGAATTGTTAAAATGCCATTTTGGAAGGTGACGTTGTATAGATGGGTACTAGACTGCAGAGCGTGCAAGCGCTTCCAAGAACTTCTCATCCTATCCCAACCAGGCTGTGTCCAGGCATCTTGGACTGTAATGCCCACCTTCTTAGCCACCCCAATCCTAGGAGCCAAAGGAGGGCTGCCATGTTCGGAAAAACTACCATCTAGCAAAGTAGAACTCCTCTCTGCTACTCAGTCAACATTTTTTTTAGAACTTGACTAAATATTTGGCCGTGATTTTTTCTGAATGTGGGGTGGGATTGGCTCAAGAGATGCAGAAGAAAAGATCTTGGTCTCCGTCTCCATTATCGTTCACCTCTGCTTTCTTTCCAGTGAAGAAGCAGATGTGTGGAGAGAAACATGCCAGAACGTTACCCACTGCTAGTCTATGTATACAAAAATAGCCACAACTGGAAAGGGGGCCTTGGGGTCCTCCCACCACAATGAATCCCAGAGCACATGCACTGGGAAGAACATGGTGGAGCTGGTAATCTGGAGGAGTCGCCACAAAGCTTCGCATTTTCCTTGATTGTCTCCAACAGTTTCTGATGCCATCTCTCCTCTTCCCAGGGTCTGAAGGGTGAACGGGGGTCTCCTGGAGAAAGAGGTCTCGGTGGGCTCCCAGGCCAGCCGGGAACACCGGGTCACCCAGGCCCACCGGTGAGTATCACACGATGGAATCAGCATGCTTCAGAATTAATCATGAAGAGCTGGTGGGGAAGACCCCCTTGTTGACAATGGATGGATGGGTGTATGGATGGTTTGCAATGGTCCCTAGTCTTAATTCTTTGTTCATTGTTCACATAAAGAGGTTAATAACAACACCAGTTTGAATTTGGACCCTTTAGTAGAGAAATGAAACTAATTCCTCTTTTTCCCTTATTTTCCTTTTGGTTCCTAGGGTGAGCCAGGCTTGGATGGACTGACAGGCAAAGAGGTATGGTGGCTTTTACCTGTATCGCAGACTTGTCAAACACAAGGCCCGGGGGCCGGATGCGGCCCGCGAAGTGGTTTCATGTGGCCCGCGAAGCCATCCTGGAAACAGTGAGGGAACGGCCCCCGTGGCCTTGGCCCTGGCCCGGTCCGACCGGGAGCCAATGTACAATTTTCTGATGGCCATCTATGCTAAAACGCATTCAGTCTTAGCTTCACAAGGCCGTCCGGAAACAGCGAGGAACCAGCCCCTGCCGCATCGGCCCTGCACCCTGGGTGCATGCTGGGGAGGTGTCACCCTTTGTGAGGAATGAAGAAATGGACCATGCCTTGGCGCTTGCCCCAGGCCCACCCCCTTCTGCCAAAGATCCTCAGATCTATCCCACTCCTGCCCAGGCCCCACAGGCACCCTTGACGCGAACGATGTAGAGCTGGCCATGCCCACCCAGTAGGCCACACCCACTCCATCCACGCCCACCCAGTAGGCCACACCCACCCTGGCCACACACACACCCCGAGGGCAACCGCAATGCTGATGCGGCCCTCAATGAAATTGAGTTTGACACCCCTGCTGTATCGCCTTCTTTACCCCCATCTCAGAACCAACAATAGGAGTAACCCACTGTAACAATGGAGGAAGGCACCTACATCGCCTTTCTTATGCCCCAAACAATCTTCACATTGTTCATTCGCACACCAGGGCGATATGGACCAGGGACAGAAAGAGAAATGGACTTGATGGGATGGCTTGGACAGGTGGAAAAAGCTGCAGTTCTTTTTTTTTTTTTCTTCTTCAAATTCCAAAACTCTAAGGCCATTTCACTTAATAACCAGGATTCATCTTGTGGCGGCAACGTTTGTGAAATAAATTGTGCATTCTGCCACAGGCAAGCTGATTTTTGGGACGGCAGCCCCTGGCCCTCCTTGCATCCATCTCCAACTATTGCATTCCCTCTCTTTGCACACTGCTGTCTATGCTTCCTGGAAGCTGACTTCCAAATGCTTCCTTTCTAATGCAGGAAGTCCTCAAGTTATAACCGTAATGGAGCCTGGAATTATAGTTGTTAAGTTATTGTGATTGTTAAGTCGAGGCACCCAAGCAACCAGAGGTGATTTTTTTTTTTTAGCCTTTTTCGCTGTGGTCGTTAAATAAAAACGTTCGTTTGAATGGGTGGTTTTAGGCAGGAACCGGTAAAAAACATCGTGAATGGTGTTCACATGACTGTGAACACCACCACAGGTCTAAAGCTGACCTACCTGACATGTGGTCATATGGCCACAGAGAATGGATGGGCACAAGCATTTATGATGCCCAGGGGTGCTTTAGAGACTGTAAAGCAGCTATTCCCTAGCCGTCGTTACTTCAGTCATAAAACAGCCGGTCAATAAGTGAGGACTACTTCTATTACACAATAATGGAGCGGAGTAATGGATAAGGAGCACCTCCCATCCAGGGTAGGTGAATGGCTGAGTTAAACGGTAGGACAAAGAGAAGGACAAGGGGGGACATGATAGCAGTATTCCAGTATCTCAGGGGCTGCCCCAAAGAAGAGGGAGTCAAGCTATTTTCCAAAGCGCCTGAAGGCAGGAGAAGAAGCAAGGGATGGAAACTAATCAAGGAGAGAAGCAACCTGGAACTAAGGAGAAACTTCCTGACAGTTAGAACAATTAACCAGTGGAACAACCTGCCTCCAGAAGTTGTGTGTGCTCCAATACTGGAGGTTTTTAAGAAGAGACTGGACAGCCATTTGTCCGAAATGGTATAGAGTTTCCTGCCTGAGCAGGGGGTTGGACTAGATGACCTCCAAGGTACCTTCCAACTTTATCATTATTATTATTATTATTGTGGATCATCGCACAGTCAGCCAGATGTTCAGACTGGATTTGGCATTTTGTCTACCTATCCAGTCCTTACCCAGGACCTGGGATAGGCAGATGTGGATGTTTGATGATATTACAGATATCGTCGCAGGATGGAAGCGGTTCCTAGTAAGACTGCCTTTTGCAATTGACTAATGGCGAATTTGTCAATGTCAATGGTGTTCAAGTGGTGCTCCAGTTGTTTTGGGATTGCACCCAAGGCGCCTATTACTATTGGTACTACCCTTGCTTGCTTTTGCCACAGTCTTTCTATTTCTATTATTATTATTATTATTTGATGGGACAAAGTAACCTTAAGCTAATACTCTCTTCCACTCAAATGCATTACGGGTATTTACCACTATGTTGAAGACTTATTATTTTTCCACAGGGATCTCCTGGAAAACCAGGTTCTCCTGGTCCTTCCGGACAGAAAGTAAGTGGGCCACTGCTGGGCGTGAATGTCAGCCTCGTCTCCTAAGACAGTGGTGGCGAACCTATGGCACGGGTGCTAGAGGCGGCACTCAGAGCCCTCTCTGTGGGCACGCGCGCCGTCCCCCCAGTCCTAGGCCTTCAGCTGGGTTTTATAAACCCTTTTCGCTTTAGGCCTCCACCGCCATGTGCAAAAAAAAGAGGTTCAATCAATGAGTCAATTTCAACTTCTCGCGGGAAAAAAAAAGATCTTGCAAAGTTGGAATTGATTGAACTTTTTAGTCCCACCCAGTCTGCCGTTACCACCGCAGCCACGCCCACCCAATGGGCCACACCCACCCAATGGGCCACACCCACCCGGCACCCGACGATGCTTAAGTGGGTTTTGGGTTGCAGTTTGGGCACTCGGTCTCTAAAAGGTTCGCCATCACTGTCCTAAGACAATCTTTCATGGCATTGTCCTCTTTCTTCTTCTTCCAGGGGGACTATGGCACTCCCGGGGAGACGGGCCAACCTGGAGAGAAAGGCAGAGCGGGGATGCCAGGAGGCCCAGGGAAAAGTGGTGAAATGGGACCCGTGGGACCGCGTGGGTCCCCTGGGGAGAGAGGACATCCTGGCTCACCTGGCCCTACAGGAAACCCTGGGAATCCAGGCCTGCCGGGGACGTCGGTAAGAACCAGAGCAAAGACAGTGTAAAGGCGTGCAACGTAACGGGAAGCTGGACGACTGAGTCCTCTGACATCCCAACGTTCTGGGTCAGTCTAAAAGTAGATGCAGTGAGAAGGGACGTGTTGTCTTCTGAGATGGGCTCTAGGGTGGGCCACCAGTGGTTGACATTCACTCGAACGAGATTTTCATACAACCTCACTGATGCGCAAGGTGCCAAAACGTGCTTGGCGCTGCCGTCATGGGCCCCAACCTTGCCTCCCAGCTTCTCCTACAAGACACAACTGCTGGGGGGGGGGGACCCAGTGCAGTCCACAGCTTCTTACATCCTGAACCTGCAAATACAACCTCTCCAGAACACAAAAGTTGCCAAATCCTGTCTGAAGTTAAGCAGGGGAGGAGGGGCTGCTTGTCCAGGATCCACGACTTAGGAGCTCCAGAGGGTCCCACAAAGCATGGCTTCTCGGGGATGGAAGTTAAAATAAGCAGCATGCTGGGAGATTGGTTATTGTGACCCTCAGCGGCCCACTCCTTCAGCTAGGGCAGGGGTAGGCAACCTTGGCTCTTTTATGACTGGTGGACTTCAACTCCCAGAATTCCTGAGCCAGCTTAGCTGGCTCAGGAATTCTGGGAGTTGAAGTCCACGAGTCATAAAAGAACCAAGGTTACCTACCCCTGGTCTAGTCTAACAAAGGGATGATTGATGTGACATGATAGCAGTCTTCCGATATTTGAACAGTTGCCACAAAGAGGGAGTCCACCTATTCTTAACCTGAGGGCAGGACAAGAAGTAATGGATGGAAGCTTATCAAAGAGAGATCCAACCTAGAATTAAGGACAAATTTCCTCACAGTGAGAATAATCTAGAAGTTATGGGGCTTTTAACAAGAGATTAGACAGCCATGTGTCCCGACTGGGTATATGGTCTCCAGCTCAAGGAGAAAGTTGGACTAGAAGACCTCCTATGCTGGCTCAGGACTTCTGGGAGTTGAAGTCCACGAGTCATAAAAGAGCCAAGGTTGCCTACCCTTGAGCTAGGGAAGGAAGAAGTGTGGAAGGAAGAAGATGCTGATGGCGGAGCTGGAAAATTTGGTCCATGGAGATTTCCTGGAGCTTGGGGGAACGGCTGCATGCGGGGCACCAGGTGAAGCTGAGCATGTGAAAGCGGTTGAACGGGACAGCTTAACATGCAAGATAAGGCAGTGATTGACTTCTGCTTTCCCTCTTCTTTGTTTTTCTCACCAGGGAGATGCCATCAGCTATGACCAGATCCGGATGTTCATCAGAGAAGAGTTCCAAAAAATGTTTGATGGTGGGTGATGAGAGCAGATTGTGGGCAGGGGGAACCGCACAAAGTGGGTTTCGGGGGCAGATGGGACACCCAAGAAAACCAAGCAGAGGTAGTCAGAAACAATGCTAGAACTGGATATTTCCTACCCAAAACTCTACCATTCATTCATTCATTCATTCATTCATTCATTCATTCATTCCATTCCTATAGCTGTCCATCTCATTCAATGATGCTGGGTGGCTTCCAGTTCCAAAACTGTTAAAACAATTAAAACAATAAAGGCATTTTTTTTTAATTTTTATTATTTAAACCAACAAAACAAAACAAAACATAACACACATATATACACATTTTTAATATGATTGTAAGTAGCCCAGAGTTACCTTGAGTTAAATTTTATAAACAAACCAACAAGACAAATAAACAAAACATCCAAAATAAATATATACTGTGGCCAAGATACTTAGTTAACAATCAAGCCAGACGAGACTTTTAACATACTCAGCATCCCAAACGCAGGAACATAGCCAGGTTTTAAAGCATATATAACGGTTGGCACCATTCTAAACTCTCAAGGGAAGATATTCCACAGGGCAGGGGCCACTGCAGAAAAGGCTGTCTTTGTCCCTGCCTGACATTCTTTGGCTGATGGGATCTGCAGCATGCCCAATCTGCTAGATCGAATTGGGCAGGTAGAGACTCTTGGAAAAAGGCCCTCAAGTAACCCAGTCCCAAGACATGTAGGGCTTTAAAGGTGACAACCAGCATCTTGAGTTGCCCCAGGAATATGCCGGTAACCAATGCCACTCACACAGTGGTGATGTCACACGTGCCGTATATCTGGCACCATTTACTATCCGCACAACTGCATTCTCATCAGTTGCTCAGACTGGATTTTGCATTTTTCCCGACCTATCAAGTCTTTCCCAGGGTCCTAGAACAGGCAGATGTTGTGTTTAATAACATTAAAGATATTGTTGCAGAACGTATGATGATGATTGATTGATTGATTGACTGATTTATGTTTGTTTGTTTGTTTATTGGAACCAGAAAAACCCCAAAAGTTGCGATGGTATCTGTTAATAATAGTTTGGCTTGAATGTCTCTCAGAAAAACCACCCAGAGTGGCTTCTCAGAGTGAGATGGGCAGCATGCAACTTTAAATAAAGTACAAAAATAAAATAAAATAAAATAAAATGCCACTTTTTAAATTAGCAGAATAACCCGAACAACTTCTCAATGAGTTTCTCAAGGGAATATTATCTGCTTCCCAAGACTCCTTTGGGGCTTATCTTCACCCTGTTTCTGTTCAACTGCTACAGGGAAAGTCCCCGTCTCAAAAAAGCAGGCTTCCCTATTTCCTCACCCTACCAATTCCTGTCCATCCCCCCCTTGAGCAGGACAGCAAACAGCTGGTTCCTTTCTCTTCCCTGCAGAGCGGATTCGGTACTATACTTCCCAACTGCCCGTATCACCGGTAGAAGTCCTTTCCCAGCCAGGGAGACCAGGACCACCTGGAAAAGACGGAATGCCGGGACGGTCAGGTCCTCCTGGTTCTCCGGGACTGCCTGGACAAATTGGAAGGGAAGGCCGGCAAGGTCTGCCCGGCATGAGAGGTAAGTCTTGGTACTCCTCCTTCGGATAGAAGTAGAGTTGGAGATGTATTATCGTAGACCGGCGTTTCTCCACCTTGGTGACTTTAAGACGGGTGGGCTTCAACTCCAGAAATCCTCAACCAGCTTTAAAGTTGCCAAGCTTGGAGAAATTGAACCTTGATTGAGTTTTTGATGGCTCTGCAAATCCAGCCAGTATGGCTAGTTAGTTATGTAAAGTTTGATGTAAAATTTAGGCAATGGGCAAATTCAGAAGCCAGGATCAGCAGGTGACAACTCAGCCAGTAGATTTATGTCATCTAGAGCAGGGGTCCCCAACCCCCCCGGTCCGTGGACCAGTACCAGGCCAGCAACCGGTCCGCACAAACAAGGAAAGCCCCATCCACAGGATGCAGACAGCACACAAAACCACGCACCCTCCGGTCCACGGAAAAACCTCTCTCCACGTAACCAATCCCTGGTGCCCAAAAGGTTGGGGACCTCTGATCTAGATGACACATCAGCAGGGCTCCCCAAATTTGGGGCAGGCCCAGGTTTTATAACTTTGTCCCATCAGGTTCCTGAGATGAGTACTTAATCCCAGTTGGGCAAGAATGTGGTCACAGCTCTAAAGAAGTACAAGCAAGACTCTTCACGAACCGTTTCAGAAGTAGCCTGATGTCATTAAGTGGCTGGAGGCCTTGGTCAATTCACTTTCATGTTTTCTCCCTCGGTGCAGGTGAGCCCGGAATCAAAGGAGACAAAGGAGACAAAGGGACTGGAATCATGGGGGAGAGTGGACCACCAGGCTCTCCAGGTGAATTTGCTTTCCCTCTGAAGTTAAATCTGCTGGCTTAAGTCTGCTTGCTTTTCATCAGTCATTTGCTTTGATCAATCGCCAAGAGCCCCGGCGTGCACAGAGCTCCATCTTTGTAGAGCAGAAGGCGGAAATATTGTTCTGCATAGCCAAAATAGAGGTGGTTCTTAAGTCTTTCTTGTAAGAAGAAAGAGCTTGTTCTTAAGTAGTTTGTTCTTTTGAGTTCCCAAGAGTTGCTTTGCAGAGTGAG